ACAAGATCGGAAATGTCATCGACGAGCAACCAAAGACGCAAACAACACGCCATCTGTATAATCTATAACTAAACAGATGTATTTAAAAATGAAATCAGTATATATCTACATCTTCATCCAATTATTTGGCAATGTCTATATGTTTAGAACACTATGATGTATAAAGTTGTAATCTGGCAAATAATAATGATGATTAATAAGAATGATAATAAGAATAATCAATTATATTGTTCAGATATACCCGATTTACAATTCTTAGAGAATAATGTTGCTTAATACCAAGTTTTTGTAACGACTGTGTTATATCAATCGCAAAACAATTTTTAAAGTGTTTAACTGATAATGAGCGGATTCTGTTTGAAATAGTCATAATTGTGGTTGCATCGTGTACAGTCAAAACTAAAGGGTTTAATAAATATGTATTAACTTAAGCTGAATAAGACTGTTTGCTACATGCAATCTCTTCATTGAAAAGCAAATCAATTAAGCACTGAATTGAATCTAGCAAGCACTAGTCAGTTCTAAAACTCTTCACATTTGATGCTATATTGAAAACCAAAGATAAGGTGTCAAGTGATGTTACTGTGTTAGTTTTTCAGTTATCTGCTATTCATTTAATGTTCCATAACTTTTTCGGTCAGCATCGAGAACGATCTTTAATTTGGCAGCTTGATTATCATTCTCAAGACCAGTTTTCCGTCTTTGTTCAAGGTCCGAAATTGTCCGTGGTCATCGACCTTTGCTGTTTCCCTCTCATTGCGAACGCGCACTGTTTTTGTCGACCGAGTCCCCATGCGATGAGAAGAGCTCTATGACCTTCAAGTACAGCCCAGTCTTTTTCAATTGAGCAACGAGGCCTTAGAAGACCACGGATAGGCCAAAGCATCAGGTTTATCCAGATACCCTGAAATATCAATGCATGCTGTCCGGCCGGACATTGAGGAGAGAAGAAAACAAATTCATGCAGTTATCCTCGTGCACATGCAGTTTATTAAAACAACTCACTGTAATCAAACCCCTCGCGTACTGCTCTGCTATCCTTATTCCAGTGGAGTGACGCATTTTATGATTCATCAGCGCTCGCTTCCCACACGACGAGTAGTGTAGGAGCTGCTTGGTAGGTCTCTCCTAATTGGTCGCAGGAAACAACGACATGTCATTCTCCCAATTGTTTTAGTATTGTCTTGGGTCAGGGAAACTCACAATTGGTGACTTCTCTTCTGAGGAGCTGCTACATAACTACACGACAAGAGCCGGTCAAGTAAAACTGATTTCTGGTGTGCCGCAACCTCCTTTTTCTTTTCTTTTTCGGCGGTAATATCATTCTGACAAGAATACATTGTAGTAGGAGATGAGCACCTGAAGTAAAGTTACGATGATTTTCAGGTCATGCATAAAATATGGACGCGAGCTTAGAAGCATCTCATCAGAAATGGAGTTTATTTTAGAAGTAAGGCCAAGTAAGCAGCTTTCTAATTATCGCTATTTCGTCAGCTTCCTTCAGAAAGCTCTACAGGACATATGTTTTACCTTGCTGGTAATACTACCGCAAGAAAGCACGTCCGAAAATGAAGAGTTTTGATTGGTTGATAATGGTAATTTTTAGAGTAATATGGTAAGAGTTTTATCTGTATATTGTTTCTGCGAGAGTAAGAACTCTGGGATCTTTAAATCATGCTGTTTCCTTATCCATCAGGCTGCATTTCAAATTCCCTTTTCTGGGTTTCTGCTTATTATTTATAAAATTTATTTTGGTGTGTAATTTCCGGATATCTATCAAAATTTTACAGTTTTCAGAAAATTGTATTTTTTTGTGTCAAAGCTGGTGCAGTCTCATGATTAGTGTATCTTTTGATACTACAAACCCTGCGCGAACTTATTACGTTTTCTGTGTTTTCTATTTTCGTTTTGTATTTATTTTTTGGTTGCCAAAAGTAATTTTATGCACTAGGTGAGATAACTGAAAGTCGGTTTGACATGCCAGATGTTTTGCGACTTGTAATAAACAAACTTTGTTTAGGAAGAGACTCGAATAGGCCTTTTTGGTCAGGTATGGTCACCCAGGATTTTTCACTTAAAACTTCAAAATATATGTTTTACAATTCAAAAAAAATACACGCTTTGCATATTTAATTAACAGATTCGGTGGTTCATGGCTGGATTCAATGTGCATGTGCCGTTAAACAGCAAGTTTTTAGGAACTGAAAAGCAATGTCCACTATCCATATCATCGCATTCTCTGTGGTTACTGGTATCGAAACATTCATTATTTGTGTTGGGAATGCTTTCGCGATTTTTGTTTTCTGGACGCAGTACACTGGCAGTAGAAGAAGATCCAGTTATCTTCTGATCAATCTGGCGGTCACCGATTTCTTCGTGGGAGTATCTGGGCTTCCATCGCTTATAATCGACTACATTCCCTCCTATCTGAGAAACAAGAAATCTGAAGATTCTTTCGCTGAATTTTTTCCTGCCACATTATTTGTCCTGTTTTCAGCCGCTTCTGTTGTTTCTCTCGCTGCCATTTCAGTGGAACGCACTTTCGCCGTCTTGTGTCCACTCGCCCATCGAACAACAAGCAATAAGATTTACGTTTACTGCGTTGCTTTTATTTGGGCGACTGGGATGGCTCAAACTATTGTCTATACTTTGCCCGCCTTTGGGGTATGGAAATCAAACTATACGGCTACTATACTAAACGTCGTTCTTTTGTTGTGCATTCTTATCACCTCTCTCATGTACATCATTATACGAGCACATTTGAAACGTTCACCTCAGATACTTGACAGTCTTAATGGCAATCAAAGGCAAAGCATGGAAAGAAACTTAAAACTCTCAAAAACGGTATTTCTGGTCATCACACTGTCATTTGCTTGTTGGGTTCCAGCTGTAGTTTTGTACGTCATCCGTGACGTCTTTTGCAAAGAATGTATTCCAGCCGAAGTCGTTTTGGTGGGAATTGTTTTACATTTCGGAAACTCTTTAGTTAATCCTATCGCATACATTTGTAGGCTGTCAATTTTTAAAAAAACACTTAAAAGACTTCTAAAAAGGCGATAAGAATGTGTAGAGCTTAAAGCGTTACCTCGTCAAGAAAGGAAAACCGATTCCTCCGTTTAGTTCTCAGGGGTACCCCCAACGACTGTTTTCTGTAAATCATCTGTTCGGAGAAGCAAAAATTGCCTAGAATTTTCTACAGCTTGATGAAGGATTAAAATTTCTAGATGACCGTTCTATTCATGTACAATTTTCTTAGCTGTTCTTTTCGCTGTTGTTCTTAGAAAAAGGAAACTAACGTTTTCGGATTCGAAAATGTTATGGAGAGAGGAATCAGAAAAATTTTTACTTTAGTAAGAATCCGTAAGTAATAGTAACGCATCTAAAATTTTTGGGAAAATAATACTGAAGCCTTTGTATTTTCGAAAACTTTTCGAAATTACAAGGGCGTCAGTATTATTTCCCGACTCAAGTTGCCCTAAGATGACCGAAAAGATACAAATTTTGTAGCGCCGCTTGAAATGCATTTCTAAGAATCTAAAAATACTCTGGATAATCTAAAAAGTCTTTTCGACGCCTTTTTGTGATATGACATGCGCAGAATAGTGTCAACCAGTTCCGGACATTCAGATTGGAGAGCAACCCGAATTCAGAAAGCGGGAAAACTGGGGAGAGAAGAGGGAACCTTTTCTTTCCTAGTCCCTAAGCGTTCTCTCCTGCCCCGTTGTCCTCGCGAAATCTGGGAAAGAGCGGGCGAGTCCCTCTCGGTGACGTCACAGCTCATGGTAGAGTCCAGTGACGGAGCAGAGAACGCCTTGGGACTAGGCTGTTCTCATCCTATCCCCTTTAAGGTTCTTCCTGCTCTCATTTCTTTGCGCCGCCCCCAAAATCTGAACGCTTAGAACAGGCTACAGCTGATAGCTGTTTCATCCTTGTTTTTATTCTTCAGTAGTAAACGCAAAAATAATTAATCCAACGAGTGTTATAATCAAATTTCGCTCCTTTTCCGTAAACGGGATCTCTCTCAGAGAAAAAAGAATCTTCGAAAGCTTCTCAGAAAAGATTTAAATCAAACACGTCACTAGCTGTCAGTTCTTAGGGCGGGATTTCGTTATTTCATCATGATTACGTAATGGTTGGAATGATTATCTTCCTGTTTTCAACAAGATCTTTGTTAAGATGAAAATGTAGATTGTTTAAATGCGGAAAGATCCTGTGTAAAATCAAAGTTTTATTTTATTCTTTTGTTTTTAACGGAGTGCCTATGTTTTAACTTTCACTTTAGCCGGGGGCATTTTCAGTTGCACCCAACGTACTTTTACTGCAGCTCCAAATTCCAATATACTTTCTTTTTTTCTTTCTTAGTTGACAACTTTTCATGTACCGATCGACCAATACGAGAACAAAGAACACCATCAAAAAGCAACTGAACAAAACACATAAGTTATCTATAACTGATGATGAAACGGCACTTTTAAATGAAATGAGTTTATTACATATACGCAAACGATCCAATTATTAGGCAATGTACATGATATACTATGTGTGTATGACACCATGTGAACAACGTCGTCATTGACTAATAAGATAACAATAGTAATAATAATATGGATTGTAATGTTAAGTTTTATTTTCCCCGTTTTAAGAGAAAAGTGCCTCCTAATACCAAGTTATAATGGTTACATAAATCGAAAAAAAAAATCATAAGATTAAATATTGTAAGCTCTCTTTGACATAGCCATTGCTGTGATAGTATTCTGTATAGAAATATTGAAAGGACTAATAAATATGTATGTACATTGTAGCTGTCTGCTGCAAGTATGTCTCCTTAAGTAAACAGGAACTAGCATTAATTTGATTAGGCAGCATTAGTAAAACAGCCATCAAGCAGATCAGGTTCTGGATTTAATCGAGCAAGCATAAGTGAGTTCTAAAATTTTCCACACTTAACATCAGGGACACTCCAACGATCTTGCAGTATTTTTATTGTTTGTTTTTATATGCTATTCATTTAACGTTCCGTAACTTTTTCCGTCAGCATCACGAACGATCTTTAATTTGGCAGCTTGATGATCTTCTTCAATATCAGTTTTCCGTCTTTCCTCGAGGTCCGACATTGCAATACTCTCTCCTTGACCGCGACAGTGATCTTCGACGTCTGCCGTTTCCTCTCCTTGCGCACGCGCACTGTTTTTTTCGACCGAGTCCCCATGCGATGAGAAGAGCTCTATGATCTTCAAGTAGAGCCCAGTCTTTTTTAATTGAGCTACGAGGCTTTGCGCGCAGAGGTTGATTGTTATGGAGACCACAGATAGGCCAACGTACAGTAGCATCAGGTTTATCCAGATACCCTGAAATATCAATGCAAGCTGTTCGGCGGGACATTGAGGAGAGAAGAAAACAAAATTCATGCAGTTATCCTCATGCACATGCAGTCTATTAAAATACCTCAGTGTAAAAGCTAAAAAATACCACGATAGGAATTTTCGAATACCATGGTCACACTTCAATATCGACTTTTTGATCAATGTTACTTCCACTACTTCCAAGTTTTTCTCTGTGCTAACATAAGAAGTAGCCTGCAAATCGGCTTATGTAAAGGGCAGCGACAACCATGTACTGGAAAGATCACAATTTGAGATAGGATGCTAAAAGCTTTGACCATTTTTTCGACAATTTATTCCTTTCATATAGAATATATCACTAACTATACCGCTAGAGAGACAAACTTATGCCTATTGGACCAATTAACAGCAGTGGTTAAAAACAGTAACGAAGACTCCTCGCAGACTCACAAGGCCCAAAATGGTACAATTCTCGGACGAAAAAGCCACAAGCCATTCAAGAACGACCACGCACGCCTCAGAATAAGTACCACTAATCAGCGGTCACTCCACTTATGGACAAATTGAATCCTCTCTTGTCCAGAGTAGATTTCAATTTCAATTTCAGAGTAAATTTAGAGATGCGGTAAAAACTGCGTATTATGTACTGCGCTTGCGCTAAATCTACCCCCAAACTACGCCGGATAAATCATTGATCGTATCTCCTCCCCCTAGTCCCTTGCCAACTGAATTCTGACTAAATTTTCCCTTCCCCCGGATTGCAGTTACGTTCGCCGATGCGCTTTGCCCTCCTTTAGTTAAAACTGTTTTCTGTTGCAAAACAAACCACAGAAAAATTGATTTTTTCAGTTTTTCATTCGTTACTTGAAATAGGCCATTTCCAAGTTGCCCAAACTGGCCTCTGTTTCAAAACTAAGCTAACTGCAATAAAGCCGTCGACAAAATCATTTTAATTCTTATGCAAATAAAAGCCATTATTACAAGAAGACCAAGAAAGGTTTCGCACTTAGCCTCGTTTTGAAAGTGACAGTTTTTGGAAGTCGGAAATGGGCTATTTAGCCTCATTCTGTCTTAATCTTTGGAGAACTGAGTACGAGATTTAGCGAGCAAGACCTTGAGGTGTGGGTGGGGTAGTCGAGAGGTAAATTGAAGATCTCGCTTTTTCCCCACCCGGACCCTGAGAGCTTGCTCCCACGAGCTACTGGAGTTTATATTGAGAATTACATTAGCTAAGTAGTGTAGTGAAGGTTTCTCCTTTCCTCAATGACCAAGATAAAGTAGCTTAAAGTTATAGAAGAGATAGAATGAATAAAGAGGAAGAAATGCAAAGTGTCCATTTGTCAAAGCTGGTTAAAATGCCAACAAAAATATATCAGATATATGGGTGGCACAGCAATATCCAAGAGTTTCATTTCAAGAGAATTCTTCTGCAAAGTAAGCTGTTGGTAGAAAATAACATCTTAAAGACCTTTAGTAACGATTTAATCAGTGGAAAGAATAGCTGCAGAGTCAGCTATGCAGTGTCGAAGAGAAGTCCAAAGATGGCAATCAAGAGAATTAGCAAGTTGGAACTATAAAGAGAATGAAACTAGAACCTGGGGGAGTACTCAACAAATGTTTATAAGGGGAGGCTCCGCCTCGAGATCCAACCCCTTACCCTTTTATATACCATTTTTCACGAAAAAGGTGCCCCTTTCGTATACCTTCTAATACCAAATAGTAACCCTTTGACATACCTTGTTTAGAACTTTGCATCCCTTTTAACTGCTGTAAATACACTGTCTTTTAAATAAGAATCAATCACGAAAAAAAAGGATTCTTCGAATTTATAAAGCCATAAAATTCATCTGTTAGCCCTTTGGGGTACTTTCGCAGACCCAAATGACAGATTTCCCTACCCTTTCATATACCTGAAGCCTGAAAAAGATACCCCTTTCGGGCGGGACCTCCCCGTACAGGCCGACGTAGGTACTCCCCCTCCCGGGAACTGAAATTTCCCCGACTTTTTCCTTTCCTTTCTCTCTTCCACCCCTTTCGACGCCTGTCACGCAGGCGCAGCGCTGTAGAAACAGACATTCAGTTGAGGCGTCCAACAATGTACGAGAAAGACGACATCACCCACAGACCTAATAAGGAGAAACATTTCGCCTTGAATCATGGCATTGTGCAAGCAAACTTCACCATTAACTGCAATGAAGACTTGAGGTAAGGCAATGAATAGCCTCCTTGAATAGGAGTTAACTGAGGATGGTAGTGTTATAAGGGCATGATAATGAAAGCGTTGTGCCATTCTTATGGTTGTCCTGGGAAAGAATCTTCAATTGTGAAGAGATAGTTAGCATTACGCGAAAAAAATAAAAGATGCAAAAGATAAAGAGTTGAACAATAGAAAAGTTGACAGACGAATTATGACATAAAAATAAGAACGCGGATCACTGAGATTTCTTCATGTACTTCATTTTCAGAAACTTCATAGAGCAAACTCGTCCCCCCAGGGACCTTTTTCCCCAGCTACGTCATCATCGGAAAGATGACGTAGCATCCAAAGAACAAGGCTGGCGCCGTTATAGATTCACATACGTTCAGAACCCTAAGCAAAGGTTTAGGTTTCTGGAAAACTACCCACCTACCCCTCCCCTAAGTCAGCATTAACACTTACTTCTCACTTAGAGCAAAATGTTGGGTTAGGGGAGGGGTAGGTGGGCAGTTTTCTAGAAACCTAAGTTGATCCAGCAAAGAGATTGACAACTTACCGCTGCAGATTTAGGCACAATGTCTCCGAATCCAATAGTGGTAAAGGTAATGAAAATGAAATATAACGCGGTTCCAAAATCCCATCCTTCGAGAGCGCAGTATAGGGATGACATGAACGCGAGAAAGATAAAAATAATCGGCAAGGCGACCCAGACGGGGGCGTTGATTTGTGCGTCAGCGGACTCGAACTCGTAATCAGAGCGGGAGTACCGTCGTATATACTTAACCAGCCACGCGCATGCCCCGTTTAGGTAATGGACGATATGGTGTCCTACCACTGCTAATAACATCAGGGTCAGCGGTATTCCAGTGAGAGCATATAAAACGCAGAATAAGCGACCGCCTGCTGTAACCGGGGCCAGATTTCCGTAACCTAGTCAATAAAGAAAATGTGTCATGTTCAGAGACTCTATAGTTGTGGTTTTATGAGCGGTCTCGTTGTAAGATGAATAGTCTAGTTATCTGTCCGTATGTGTCGGTTTTCTGAATTGCACCTTGAACTATCAAGGTGTATGGACTCGGGGAAGATAGATAGCTATAGATAGATTATTAACAAATAATTAAACAGCAACCAAGAATTGAATTGTTAGGCTTAAAAACAATAAAAGATTCCACCAGGCAAAGGCGACGGCTATACGCGTATGTTGCAAATGAAACCACCACGAAAAAAAAGTCTAAAAATGAAATATCATTAACATATCATACAACTCATATTCAATTCATTAAAAATTTATCATAGAAGAAGGTAAAAAGGATTGTCTGAAACGATTGGTACTACAAATAGGAACATTAAAGGTACTTGGCCGCCTGAGGTAATTTTTTTGTGTTCGTGTATTTGGGGGACTAGATGGAGAAGCCTGTGAGATGGAATGTACATGTACATTAGATAGCTAAGGGACGGACCATTAAAAATTGTTTGCAGCAGCGAGCCGTTTAAAAAATATGTTTGCATGTAAAAATTTTCCAACCCCCTTCAAAAACACAATGGTCCGTCCCTTAGAGCAAGCTGCGTCTCTCCTAATGCCCAGGCTGGAGAGGTTGAAGCGACTGAGGTTGTCCTCATGGGTGCACTCAGGAGTGATAATATGGAGAGTCCTGTTCTGAGCCCTCTCAATGTCCTCCTGGGGTTATCATAAGATAACGCACGTTGAAAAACCGGCAAACAGTATTCAAGGATGGACCAAACGCACGGACAATAAAAATTCACAATTATTTCCTCAGGTGGAATACCGCGCGAAGGAGTAGAATAAGTCAGTAAGGAAGAACACGCGTTCCAGCTAAGATCCTTGATAGCGGAGCTCCACGCGAAGCGCCGCGCATGGGCGGAGCGCCATAGCTAAGGAAATGTGGTAATCTACCCATCCGAGAAAATTTGGTAATCACGTGACCGTACACCGACTGACAGCCCGACGGTCCGTCCGCACCACAGGCATACCAATGTAAAATAACTCAATCAATAGGTATGGCAACCCAAATGCAATTCAAGGTTTTATTTGGAACTGAAATCACATGGCCGCCCCGACAACAACAAAGTCGTGTCTTTTTCGGCGTTATTTTTAATGTTTACACTAACGTGGATAACAGAGGAACAGCGAGAGCGAGCTATTGAAAACAAAGGAGACGAATTTCGTAGGAAGAAAAACATTGAAATTCAAAGCGGCGGTGAGAAAATGAGAAATGCTAGCGGCCAGCAAGCTGAAAATGAGCGGCAGTGAAAAATAAGAGCGAACATGAACACAGCATACAAAATGTTGGGTACTAGCACATAAGACAATTCCTCCATAAAAATAATGTTTAGCTAGGAAGTTGGACGTTTTAGTCGTACAAATCAGCGTTGTAGCCGTGCAAAACAACGGCAAGGGAAACACAAAAAAGCGTGCTCACGTGCAAATTTGTTTTTTGCAAATTAGAAGAAAAAGTGTGCTGCACGTGCAATTTTGTTTTTTTTTTGCTAATTAGATCTATTAGTCTTGAAGCCATTTTCATTGTCGTCCCCGTTTAGCATTACACGATTAAATTTTTTTTTCTTTTCACGTATTATTAACCAGAGCTTCGCTTTTAGCCCTGGCTAAATCTATATATTATAGTTACTGACCCTAAGATGTTAGCATAGTTGACAACACAAAAATCAGACCGGTAGACCGAAACTGGACTAAAATTCAGATTCAGGGCCGACAAGGGGAGGAAGAAATTTGAGAGGCAGGAAACATTGCATGAGCTCTAAGAAGGCTGAATTGATCTTGTTGGCCAAATCAAATGGCGATAGAAAATCGGCATCGAGAAAGTTGAGTTTCGAAAGCAAATGTTATGGACCTCGTAGCGGACCTTTGACTATTACACGAATCAAGGCTCCTATACAACTGATTAAAATAATCAGCAACTCTTTATGAACTCGCTAAATCACCTTCATGAAAATATAAAGGTTTCATTACAATAGTTGGCTAAAAAGTTACAGAAATTATATCCGAGATAAGCATGAAAGCAGACATAAACATTTAAGACGGCCTTACCTATTGTGGTCACAACGGTTGTCGCAAAAAACAAGGAATTCGAAAAGCTCCAGCTAGGTTTCGAGGCAGCTGTTCTCCTCTTTCTTATTTCGTCAAACTTTGCATCAATTTTTTCCAGAGAATCAGATTTGAGCCCTTCCACGGCCTCTTTGATGTCTAAATGTTCCGGTAAGATCTGTTTTCCTTGCGAAGTTTTCTTCAAAGTTTGCAAGAACAAAGCAACATCGTCGCTTGTACTGTGTTCCTTTCTCGGCTTGTATTCTATAGATTCGAAGATTAATCCTCCAATGAATAGAAAAACTAAATTTGCCAAAAAGAGAACCAACGGAACCAGATTTTTTCGCTGCGTTGGTGTTAAAGTCATGGCTCTGGGATTACTAAAATTTTTTTCCAATTTGTGATTATGCCGGAAACATTTACAAGGAATACAAGTTAAGTTAAATAATGGTAATTTTCGAGTTCCTACAAATCACTTTCAAAACATTCGAATGCGTGGGCTATTCAAATATATTTCATCGTGCTGAATTATTTAATATTTTCTTCGGATTGTATTGCGTCTTATTTTAATTGGTTGCTAGAGTGCGAATTTCGATCGAATTGTTTTGGGCAATGTTATCTGTTTATAATACTCAACCAAAATATTTGTTTGCAAGTATGTGATTGCAGGAGAATACGGCAAAATATTCAACTTTTGAACATGGAAATCACTTTTAATTTCACAACCCACGATTTATCACTTAAGATAAAATAAATTGCGCGGTTTCTTTCATTTCTTTTTTGTACTCTTATCGCTTTGACTTATGTCTTTAAAGTGAATAACACATGCAAAAAGGGGATCACGGAAAAAGTTACAATTAGAAAACATAAACTGATTATGACTCAAGTGCAAATATCTTCAATCAACTTTTCGTTATTGATTAAAACTCTCTTTCTGTTTCAATTCACAAAAGCACACGGCTGGAGCTGATGGCCTTGAGAGAGGAGAAAGGGCTGTTTTCTCAGGCTATACTGACTTGTGTTACTGGAAAATTACGGATTAAAAAAAACGAAGGATGAATATCAATGTTTTTATTTGAGACTGAGCAGTAAACCGAGTAAAACTAATAATACAAACAGCCCATGAAAGTTGCGTTTCACGCGCTGTGCGAGTCTTCAAAACACAATCACACGCATAAAAAAACTCTAATTTTATATTTCAGGCCAATGCCTTTCTTCAGGTGATTCCTTAGTAAAAGAACCTAACATAGATTGTAGATCAAACTTGCTACACTGATGTAACAAGTCAAGAAGATGATAAAAAAGTGATAAAAGGTGGGGGTCACGCGTACGGTGCTCGTTTTGACGTCACAATGCTGACAAGGTACGGCTATTTAGGACCCTTTGGCAAAAACCGCGAACCGGGATCTAATTTTTGCACTGTATCTACTGAAATTTTTTCTTAAGTTAGTGAATGACTGATTTCAGTCCCCTCTCGCCCTCATGTACTGCACAGCCGTTATTAGTCACGTGTCGTCACGCAATGCTCTGGGGAGGAGCGTTGAGTGACCACACTAAATACATTATTTGTTCGAAGACATGAAGCGCCCAACCTCAAATTAGCGCTCATCTCGAATAAGCGCTCATATAAGCGCCCACCCCCACCCCACCCTCTTGGGTGATAACGAGTTTGAAATTGAATAAGTACTAATATAAAGAGACTTCTCAGAAAACGGAGTTTCTACAGAGTAGGGGTATAGTAGTTTACAGAAACCTTGCTTTGTTACATCTTTGCGTTTCGTTATTACCATTTATTGTTTTGTTGCAAAATAAACAAACTAAACTTGTTGAAAATTAAATGATGAAAATTTAATAAGCGTCCAGCCTCGAATAAGCGCCCACCTCGAATAAGCGCCCACTCTCAAGGTCCAAAAATTTAATTAGCGCCCAGAGTGCTTAATCGAAGACTACACACCCTCTGGATTTTCCAAACCCAAAATTCACTAGAAAATTAGGAACCTGATTGTCGCAATTAACAGGTAAATACCACCCCCCCTCCTCCCCTCCTCCCCTCCTCCTCCAGCCACTCTCCAGGAAATTGGTCACATTTGCTCCCTCTTAGCCTACGCCACAAACGAAAAGTCTCCCTAATCGGAGTGCATTGCGTGCCAGCATGTAATCAATTCCGCGCACTTGGTTTACCGGCAAAATGTCGTGATTTACAAGAAATTTTAAGTTTTTCGAGAGTGAACCTGGGCCGGGATGAGAAAATCAGTTCATTGCGTCCAGCTTCTAATCAATTAAATAGACCCGCGCACTTGGTTTACCGGCAAAATCTCGTGATTTACAAGAAATTACACGTTTCTCGAGAGTGAACCTGGAGTGAGAAAATCAGTTCAATTCAATGTATGAATCAGATGAATAAAATATAAATCAAGCTCAATAAATGAATTTAAATTAATTAGGGAAATGAAGGGGAATTCACAATCAAAAGAGGTATTAAATAATTTAAGGGGGAAAGGAAAAGATTTCGAAAACTATGAAACAAAGCAGTTAATAATCAAAATTACTATAGTTTATTTCAGCAAAACTTCTTCAAATTCTGATAAGCTTATTAAGAGATGAGACATCATGAGTGTGATCTTTGGCTCATTTCAGAGTGACCTTGACTGACCGCCACCGAAAAGGACCAGTCAGCGGAAAGCTTCTTGAAGAGAAGTTTGGTGAACTTTACATGCAGAAGAAATTCACCAAACGTTTTTGGTGAGAATCTCCGATCTGAAAAGACTGAAACATTGGTCGAAACATTCAGGACCGTTTTCGTTTTCCAAATGAATTGCAAGAAGACTTGACGTCGCCAAACTTAACTTCACGAACTCCGGAAATCAAAGGTCGTATGATATAGTAATCACGTGGCTACTCAAAGGTCAAACGATCGTCTCACGGTACAAATGAAACGAGCGCATGACATCATTCATTGCCATCAAGTTCCACGAAATTCTCTTTCGTTTACAAAACAGTCAACGATGAACGGCAGAAATTGAAACTCTGAACAGCTAGAAATGTCCTTCTTTATTAGAAATACGCGATCTTAGATCTGTTCATCATTATTCCCTGCCAGCTGGTTGTTCGTTATGGAACTTGGAATAAACATGATCAACAAAACCCTGAAAATCATTACAAGACCTCACCTTTTGACGGTTTCGATAGTGACAGCGTGGCTATGTTTGCTGGTTAATATTGCTCTCCGTATTTATTATCTGTGGATGCGAATCACAACTTGGTAAGTTTTAATGAAGTTGACCAGTTTACTTTGCAGACGTCCCCGTCGCGAATCGAACCATAAATTGCACAATGTTTGTTTTTATTATATATATCGTAAGCTTGAACAAAGTAAGAGGCGATGCAAGCTAACTCGAAGTTGCTTTCAACTACGAGGGATTCTACTGAGATTTCCTCACAGCCCCATTCATTTATCATGTGCTCATGTTTTGACTCTTCGTATAAACAGTTTATGTAAAAAGTAATGAGATTGCTGCATCTATAATGAATGGGCTGTCGTTTGCAAAAATCTTACCAAAGCTTCTTACTGTCAATAGATTTGTTTTGGGGAAAATGGGATTGTTTGCAACCACGAGACAAGGCAGCCATGTTGGTTTAAAGACGAATTATCAGTAGAACCTCATAAAAGCCTGGTTTCCACATGATAGTTCGGATTGTCCTGATCATCCCAGTCATCTCAAATGATGTTCAGAAAATCGGGACAGTCATATGGAAACACTACCCGGACGATTGCAAAGGACCTGGATGACTGAGATGGACTTGGTTGCTTGGATAGAGTTGAGTTCTATCCAGACAATCAGGATGATCATGTAAATTTTGAAGCAATCATAATAAAAAATTATAAAAGTGACTCTCTCAGACCATAGAGACTATCGGCCAATTAAAGGCCATCCCAGAAATCATCACTATTTTTCCAGTAATGGAGAATAAATTTAGCCCAAACACAATAAAACATAATACAAAAATGTTCGCACCATGTATGGGGACTACATGTATTTGAAACTAGAGAAAGTATGTTACATCAACTTCTCTATGTGAGGCTAATAATTTTATTGTCTTTATGGAACTCTTCCAGCTTGTTTATGTCGCAAAATCAAGAGAAAAAGCAGATAGCAAGGCATGTTATTTGCTCTCTGATTAAAATCCATCATCATGTTTGGCTTGTTTGCCATGTGAAAAAATTCCAAGTGCTGAGGTTGTACTAATATTTTTTCCCGAGAATTTTCATGAACAAAGAGTTAAGCTCTTAGCAGAGAGAGGTCCTTCAACCAACGTGGCTGCTATGATGTCAGCTACAAGGCAGCAATAATTAACTTACTATTTATAGCTGGAGCTGCAAGCTTGTAAGGGTGCTGTATAATATATAATCCATGCATGTTTGTAGTGGCTTAACCTAGAATAGTAATGAAGCTCCATCCCTGCATGTTTGAAAATTGCCCTTTGTTTTGAAGTTATAATAAGTGGCTGAACACTCTCATCATAAAGAATGTTAGGGCTGAGGGAAGAAACGGGCCCTTCAAACCTTCCTACCATTTTTCTGCCTGGTACAAATGTCAGACTAAGAAAATCACAGTGTGAACCAATGAGCAAAAAGTTGCTAGAATAGTGGAACACAATGCTGATAAAAATGTTGACTTCACCTATAACAGATTTTTAAGACCCACTTGTTTTAAAAATATACAGTTGCTGAATAACTTTGTTTTGAAGCAATGAAGCAGAAGTAATAAAACACAACAAAAATAACTTCTGAATATTGGTTGTCACTTTTATGAAATTGGTGCAATGATGAGAAGCGGTGAAAGATTCATTGAACACTCTCATCATAAAGAATGTACCATCCACGGGGCTTTGAAAGAAGGATCATCGGTGAGCTCTTTAGCGGGCACCAATTCGAAAAATAAAAAACCTTCCTGACTGCCATTTTTGACATGCCTGAAATTGTATTTCTGGCCAAAGTCTCTGTTTCCCACACTGAAAAGGCGATATCATTCAACTCTAAAAAAACTTTTACGTTCCGATAAACAAAGTAAATACCAACCTTGTTCTCTTTGCTGTGAAAACCACTCCATGACCTGGTCTAGAAATTTCTTTCGCACGTTTTGCAGACATCTTCAGCTCTCAGGAAAGAATATGATTTTTCTCCAGCGAAAAAAAAGTCCATAAGATTTTCTTGATAACTTTTATCTTGAAAGCCATACTATAGCGTTTTTAGGCAATGATAAAAGTAACAGCGGCGAAAGGGGATCGATTGATACTTTGAAACGTTTAACTGAGATTGTTGTTGTGGTTGATCTGTTGTCTCTTCACTTTTGTGTTTATTGACGTTTTGTGTTCAGTGAATCAATTTCTTATGTTTTCTGTGAGGTTGGAACAAAACCAATCAATAAGAAAACTTTTTTTTTTTTTGGGGCCTGAGTCTAGTGATCGGCTTATAAAAATATGTGTATATATCTGAAGTGCCAGAGGGTACACGTACTTACACTGTAAACTATAAAGGTCCAGCATTGGAATGACAATGTTTATAGGAGGAGGTTGAAAAGATCCACTGTTTAGAAAAACATGCGGTAACCATAAATCCTCCATTAAGCTCTACCCCCTCTCTAATAAGCCTTCTCCCTCCAATAAGCTGCCTCCTTTTCAGAGGGAGAAAGTTTATTAAGCCCCTCCCTCCCCTCCCCTATTTATTCTTCACTAATAAATGATAGACTGCTTCAAATAATCACCACTGAAACTTTGTGTTGACTGACCCTGGGTGTCTTATGTACCAACTGGAAGTTCGGATTTAAATCTGATCCTCAGCTGCATGACCTCCAACCTTCTTGTTCTTGAGCTTCTCCACTTAGGATTCTAGTTCTTTATGGAGAACTGATACCATTGTCGTTTCTAAATTAAATGAGTCTCCCCCATCTCTGTGAAGCTCCCCTCTCAAATGGGCTTGAAATAAATAAACCCTTGAGGCTTAATAGAGGATTTACAGTAATTACAACCCTTTTTTAAAGTTTATTAAATTAATTCTATTTTCAATTTAATTAATTCTAGTTTTGTCTTTTTAGGTTTTTAAACTGTCTCCTCTCTTTAATTCTCATCTGGTTGTTTGGTCTACATAATGTGTCAATAACAATTGGAGAATTTGGATTTTTATCAGTGAAAGGTGTGAAAATACGATGGAGGAGGGATGATGTAGGTTTGGTATGTAACATACTTGCTTCCTTTGCAATGGCATTTAGAATCTTGCTGAAAGGGTGATGATGCTACTTCATAAGAAATGAAGATGTTATGAGTTGATTTGTAGGGTGATATAAAGGTTCTAGTAAAGTAGATGCATTTGAGTCTACTGGCCCATCAGTCGACAGCTTATTCTTGCCTGCATTGCAGATCTAATCTACAGATCTATTTTTTTTCTTTATTTACCTTACATCCCTTACATCAAATTTCTTATGCTTAACATAAGATAATATTATCAAGAACCATAAGGCCGGAAGATTTTAAGCAAGCTCCATTGAGCTTTGTCCGCAAAGCAGTGCCAATATCCTTGGTCTGGGCCCCAACAGACTCAACAAATACTGGTAGACAGATTTACGGTAACCAGAAATATTAGTTCCATCTGTGGTGCAGACTAAGCTTATTCTACAAGTAGTTTATGTAGTTTAAAGACAAGCAGCCAGGAATATTTTTATCCCCCTCCCTTCTGGACAGGATGCTAGTCCATTCCAACTTTTATCTCCAATAATTATTTTATTTCTTGGTACTCATGAATGCGTTTATACATTTGGGTGAAGTTAGAGGCCCACTTAGGGAGAGTGCATACATTGTGTGTCCCTATTGGTCTGAATTTCAAAACAGTCATTTTGCATTTTTTTGAAGTAAGCCATTTCCTTGTAGGTATTTAACTCATCTTTATTTTGTTTTTCACCATTTCATCTTGTCTTTTGTCGGGGTTTCAAAGTCCAGTCGCTTGTTGAGATTTTGCACTAACAGAACCTCAAGTGAAGCTCTTTGAGAGAAAAGTTTTTCATTCAATCTGTAGTGGTGATGGATAATCTGAATGGTATCCTAATGTAAGAAATCCTTAATAGCAATCTGCACCCTTTCCGAAAGATCCATTGTAAAGCTCGACAATAGTAATATATACCTGTAATAAAAATTAATGATCTGGCACATCTACAGTGTACAGTACATGTAAGTTTGAGCCTGTTAACAAAGTTTCTCTGGTGCTGCTTAAAACATTTCTGGTGCAATTTTCTGGTCAGAAGTAATCCTAATCCCAAGGTAAAAAAATCCTTTATAGCAATCTGCACCCTCTCTGAAAGATCCTATTATTAAGCTCGTCAATAGTAGTATATACTAGTAATAAACTGGTCTGGCACTTCTACAGTTTACATGTAAGTTTGAGCCTGAAAATAAGGTTTCTCTAGCACTGCTTTAAACATTTCTGGTGCAATTCTCTGGAGTAATCTCTGTTTTGAGGCAAGAATAATTATGCCATTTCTTTCAGAGTTCAAACTCAAACTTAGATACACCGTACATGTACATTTGTACCTCCTTGCCTTCTGCTTGTTGATTTTGAATGCTAACATGTATTAGCCTTTGAATTGTACTTTGTTTGTTTTTTGAAATACTTTTGACATGTCCACTTGTATCTGTATGCTTCACCTGGAAATTAACCGTTATTATTATAATAATTATGATTACTTTCTACAGTCTATTGAAGAAGTAGGAATAAAGAGATTAGAATGGAACTTTGAAAAAGTTAGGTAAGATGAAACAATCCATTCTTCTTGTTTCTACACGTACAGCTGCACTGTATTTCCTCCAATAATATCCGAGGGCAATTATTATTTTTTTCGAACAAAAAAGAGGCGACTATTCAAGGGAGGCGATTATTTCGAATATTGCTCAGTGGAAGTCCTGCCCTAAATAGTTTGTTTTATTATCCCATTAAATAAAAAAAATCAAACAAACTGAACAAGGGCTTTTTAAGTATTCCAAGTTTGTTGCTTGATTTATTTGCAATGTCAATATCCTCTATGTCAGAACCTGAATCGTCACTGATCAGTTTTGTTGGATCAGACTCCACTTCAACTTGATAGGGAGAGGATAACAGAAAGAGAAGAGGGCTAGATGGCTGGGAAGGGGCAATTATTTGAGGAAGGCGATTAATCAGGGGACGGCTATTATTTGAGGGAATACAGTATTTGTAGAGATCATATTTAAAATACATTTTACCCTTTGTACATTTATTAATTTTGTCTTCACTAGAAGTGGTTTTTTTGATCGATCAATCTCAAATTTGTGTTCTTTTCTTCAGGGATCTTACATTATTGTTCAACATTAAACAGTTAAAAAGAGAGCTGTTCACTGATTTCAAGGTACTACTTTCTGTAGTAAAATCAGTAACTGACAATGTAACAATCCTTTGTATGTCACTACATGTACATGTGTATCTGAAGTAATGACTTTACCTTGGTTGTTTAGGATGCAACAACAGATATCTACACTTCTTTTACTCTTCACTGGAAAATGGTACGTTAAGTTTGTTTTGTGTCACTAAAGCTGTTTCTATCTTATCAAATTGTTACGAGTTTTCATTTTGAGGATAGCTATGGGGGTATAGTACATGTAAATCCAAGACTGTGTGAGACCATGCTGCACAATGCCCTGGTTTTAAAATCCAAGATGGAAACTATTCCTTCTTATTTGATAAATCTGAGAACAAAATTGTACATTTTATATAAGTGAGAAACTTCAAGCCCAAGTCTTACAGTATTTCCTCCAATATTAGCTGGGGGTGATTTTTTCTTTTCTTCAAACTAAAAGGGGGTGATTATTCAAGGTAGGCATTATTATAAATATTACTCAGTAGAAGTTTAAAAAAATAATCACATCAAATAAACTGAATGTGGGCCTATTTAGTTCCTGTAACTAAACCTTTGCTTTTGTAACTATTCATTTGTAAACAATTAAATGAAAGCTTGTTTGTTTATATCCAAGGTGTCAATCTTTAACTTGATAGGGAGGGGATAAAAGAAAGAAAAGGTGGCAAAAGGGGTGGGGGTGATTATTTGAGGGAGGTGATTAATTGAGAGACGGCTGCTATTTGAGAAAATAATCTATGGTACAATGTATGTAAACTTTCAGAGATTGTCAAAACATCTTTTCCCACAAAAACTCTTCCAAGAAATTTTTATCATCATTACTTTTTTTTTCTTTTTTGTACCAAGAAGGTAATTGTGTTCTTCTATTCATCGATATTTTCAGCAATCTCCCAGTGACCTTCTCAGTAGTGATTTACGAAATTCAAGTGAAACCATTCCAAAGGCGTTCACACTGCTTAAGGCTACAGATGTGGAGATTGGATCACGACTTCACATTCAAAGAGGGGGCTCTTATGTCACACTACTTGAGGTAAGAAGACTCTTCTGTTCCTGAAATGCCGAGATCAACGTGGAGGGGCAGTAACCAAGTCACAACATTCAGTACTCGTTCTTGTATTTTTAATTATACCAAAATGTTAAAAAGACGTTTTGACGATGGTAATGACCATAGTTATGTTGCTGGTGATGATGATGCGGGGTTCTCAATAGATTTTTAAGTAGGAGGTGATCACTGATAAAGTAGGAGGCTCTTCAGCAAAGCCAGAGGTGTCAAAACAAAGCAAAGAAAAGCGACTTAAACACAAAGTAAGCGGCTATAAATCCCAAAGTAAGCGGCGATCAATCGCTGGGTGCCGCCTTCTATTGAGAACCCTGATGATGATGATGATTATGATGATGATGATGAATACTTTACATAAAATGACAATGCCAATGAGACTGAAGATAATGCTGTTTAATTTTGTAAAAATGACTTGTTAATGGTAGCAGTATTGATGGTTGAGGTGGTGACTATACTGAAGTCATAATAATGTTACTTGTAATATTAATATTAATGTTTTTATGCTTTTTTTCACTAGGCTGCTGTTCTAGATGGACTTTTGATTCCCTCAGAAAAAGTCACATCATTGTACATAAAGGCAAAGGATTTGACCTACTGCTCTGGGCCTTATGATGCCAAACTTAGTCAGGCCAGACGAGAGAAGGTATTGAAGCTGCGTAATCTTTATAAATGTTTATTAAAGATATTATTATTTATAGCAAGACTACAGTCAGCAGTTTCTTAGTTGGTGGAAATCCAACAAAATAATGGCCAGTAGTTGCCAACTAACGTTACAGTTACCCGGTACTGCCATACATGAGGACCGGTATGATTCTGCAATCTTTGGATCAGAGTGGGACTACATGTTATGTTACCTTCGTTTGCCAAAACCAATTACAAAAGATTTTAATGCTAAAAACTGGTGGTTTTCGTAAATAAATAGGGAAAAAGGGGAGTGATGATGACAGTAGTTAACCCTTTAAGTGCCAGGAATCACCAACATCAACTGTCTTTTAACCCTGTTAACATTGTCAATTCATAATCAAGTAAGATGGTTACAAGAGTTAAAAATATGATCACTGGTGGGAAAATGTTTTCATCTTTTAACAAATTCTCTCGCCTAATTTTTCAAGTACAGTGTAAGATTTTATGAAATATAATTTTTCATTTAATAGTGTGTTCGTTACATATACATTGCACTAACAGTGATTGATTAAGATTTGTTATAAACTTTTGTTTTCCTTTACCTTTCAGATCATCAAGCTACCTCTCTTTGATTTTCTGTCGACATTTTATGTAGATGGTCCTTCTCGTATCACAATAACCTGCCATGAAGCCCAGATGTTTCTTTGCCCAAGCAAAATAAATTCCTCACTAATATTTCTGAATCATTTACTAAGGCAGCAGATCAAACCTGGTAAGGAATTTGATACCCAAGAAGGTACCTGTAATATACAAATTTAGCCAAGGCTATAGGTGAAGCTCCCATTAATAGGTTTATAATTTACTTCAAACAATAAACTTGTAACCATTGCAAAGAAATTTACTTGGAGTTGAGCCTAGGCCTGCAATCAGTGGAAAACTAGTAACTTGTCAGTAGAGAACTTCGAAAATAAGCAACCTCGATTGGTCGACACCTGATCCTCCATTACGGCCATTTAATATTGTTCAAGGGATACAGCTGTCAATTGACCACAACATGAAGGATGTGTAATATCGCAGGTTGCAGGCTCCCACGTTAGCTAGAAAGTGTGACATTTTACGTTGGTTTTCCTGTGGTGCAGACGGACAGGTAAACGTAAGGTCAAGTAACTCCTTATCCTGGATAGATCGTTATATTGTAATAACTTTAGTCCATTTTCTTGCGCATTTACATAGATCTATCTTTCTTTTCCTTTCCTTTTCTTAATTTCTTCTTAGTAAATTACTCGATTAGCCATGCTATATGTGAGCAGAGGATGTTCTGAATGTACATGTATGATTTAATTTAATTTGTCACTTCTATGGAAACCAATAAACTTCAAACTTTTACTTCAAAAAAAAAATTCTCAGCCATGGGGTTCTGCCTGCACGCACGTGGGGCTCCACTGATAATCGGTTCCAATGACATGTCTCATTCTCTTTTATTTTTCTTTAGATTTAAAAGCTGATGCACTTGCTAGAACAAATATTAAAATTAACATGGAAAAGTTTTTAGAGGTAAGTCCCATGATGGCTTATTTGGAATTGTTGTATTTTTCCCACTGACCCTTTCATACGCTCCAGCTCGGAAAATCCCTGAAAAATGTGTTCCTTTTAGGTAGAGCTTCCTTATATCGGCCATTATGGGGAGTACACAATGTATCCCCTTGGATATGCAACAATATTGAATCACAACTCTATTCTGATGAATTCTGTTATCCCACTTGTAGATATAGTTAACTCACTCTAACACAGGCAATTATTAGTATTATTATTATCACCTTACTGAGAGTCAAGAAGAAGCTGATCGAGAACAACAGGGACATACACTGTACTCTAGGAGCGTTTCCATTTTATAGAGTGTCTGTCTTATATTGGTGTCCTTTGACCGTCTCAGGTCCAGGAGTGGCCAACATCACTTTTCCTGTAACAATAGGGAGCTTACGCGACTACGATGACGACCACAACGACGACTTCAAAACAACAATAGGTGTAATGATCAAAACAACAGCTCTGCACATACATCACACTTTTTAGTACATTCCTTTGACGTCCGCTGCACGACTACGACGTGAAACCTCCTAATTTGACGTTTTATGAAAGAAGGGGACATACTACGACGAATTTTCCTTCCTCTTTTTGAACCTGAATAAAATCGTTAAGAATTCAACTCCAAGAAAAGTCGCCTGCATTTGACATACTAAGCGGGTCCAAATAGACGCGATTAAGTTTGAAAGAACGCAAATTCATTTTTTTAGCGACGTTTTCACTGCCGTCGTCGTCGTCCTTGCTTAAGGTCCCTAATAGGGACTTTAAGATCCAACGACGCGACAGCAATGAGAACGTCGCTTAAAAAGTGAATTTGTGTTCTTTCAGTCTATGTCGCAATTATTCCTACCCACTTACTTTGTCAAATGTAGGCGAACCCTCCTGGAGTTGAATTCCTAGGCATCATATCCAAGTACAGTAAGAGAAATAAAATTTCGTCGTTGCTTGTTTACGTCCTCCGTAAAACGCGAAATTAGGCATGTTCACGTCGTAGTCGAGCATGGTGCACGTGCAAAGTTGTTGTTTTGCTTATCAAACCTATTGTTGTTTTGATGTTCTCGTTACCGTCCGCGTCGTTGGATCTTAAAGTCCCTAGTATCAATGCATGTCAACAGCAAGGATTATGGGAATTGATGAAATGATTGCCAAAGGAGAAGTGCTTTGACCTTTTATCAAATAATCTCCACTAATTCTTTATTAAAGGCGGGAAATGTATGATAATGATAATGGTAATTGATGTTTATTAAATATCCGCTGTATTATCCTATCACTATTTTTGTTTTCCATTTGTGTTCAGCTGAATGTGAGGTCAAAAGACACCAAGGCTTCAATTTGTTTTCAAGATGGAGCTGAGTCTGTCAACATTATAACATCATTCAATTTATCCCTTTATAAGCGAAAAACCAAGGTGAGTTTTGTTAACTACATGTAAATGATTGTTTTCACTTCCTCTTTTTTGGGTGAACAAGAATAATCATCATTATGCCTTCTAAGACATTTTTGTTATTCGATCATTCCAACCCACAAAAAAGAGCCTTATTCCAAATGAGAGAGTTCCCTGTTGCGGAAAAATTCCCCGTACGATTCATTGGCATTTTAAGATTTTAAGTGGAGGTCGTGTTTCAAAGCAGATCATAAAGAATGCCTCTCTGTCAAATACATTTTTAAAAATTTACCATGTTCTTTGTCATCTATGACGCTGATGTTTGTCATTATTTTCGGTGTCAGAAAACGTTTTATTTTTTCACAATTTTCAGAGCCAGTATGCCGCTTCAGTTGCAATCCAATCACTTGTTCCCGGTGGAGAGCAGACTAAAGATCCGTGTGTTATCATAGGAAATGAGCTGATTTCTGCTCCATGGGAGTGTACAATTGCAGTAAGTACCAACAGTCATAAAAATAATCGTTGCCCGTCTTTCAGCGTGGGGTTCCTGTGCTATAGGGTGAACAACACTCAAAGATCACGGTCATTGATGGGCTATTTCTTGCTGAATTTTTGGGCAGCAAAGTCTGCGATTAGCGTCACATTTTCACATGCGAAATTTAATGCAAAATTATGTTCTGGAAGACTCACTGTATTAGAGGATCCGATAGTTTTGTACGGATGATATGATAACACTATCAGTAAACAAAAAAAACTGTACTGATTTCTTAGCTAGGAATCGCGCTCTTGTTCTTTAGATCTTGATCTAAATAAATTATTTGATTTCGGGCCTCTAAAGTTAATGGGACGTTCGAGAAACAGACCCGAGGGCAGGTCATTTATAGCCTGCGGTGCAGCCGACCCACGTATCGCGTGAACAATTGTTATAAACAGGTTTAGAGTGTCTGCGACACAGTTTAGTAATTTTTAACAGAGTTTAGCCGGTGCGATTTAATAAACCTGCGTTCTAAGCCATTTTCAATTTGCCCCACGTTTCTTGGAGGCGTAATGGGTAGACTTGAGAAACATTTATCTTCCAAAAATAACCCAGTTAGAAAGACATCTGGAAGTCCACAGATTTCGTATACCATGGTCCAAGTTAAACGTAGTTTAAATAGCCTTGTCTTTGGAGAACTTATTAAAAATTTTTATACCCATGCCCGCTTTATTCCACAGTTTATATTTTTATCAACCAGTTCTATTTGCGTACCTGTTTCAGGGTAGCGACTGGTCAGGTCACTCTATGGTATTGAGGATCACTTCTGAACAAACTTTTTCTTTGATACTTCGACCGGATTGTATTCCAGTTTTCAAAGACCTTCACGAGGTATGTGCAGTAACTTACACTGAAACTTCTTATTGAAAACACCACGCTGTATTCGGCCAGAGCGGAAAATACCACAATATTGTTTAAACTTCCCTTTGGGTGCACCCCCTGCACCCTTCCCTTAGATCCGCCCCTGAAAATGTCTGGATTCGTGTGGACTGGGCCTTAATCTCTCTTTTTCCGAGGCAAACCAATCAAACAAGTAGGCTAACTTCGAGTTACTAAAATTATTCTTGGTCAGGATTTCCTGGAATATATTTAGCCAAATTAACTCTTCAGCCCTAGACCAAGGTATGGTGAGATTATTTGTCATTCTAACTTTTGCGTGTGTGGACAAAGTCCTGTGGTGTCACTAAAACCCTTCAGAAAATCCTAACTCATGTATTGTAAAGCGCTTAGCACTGAAAAGTATAAGCGCTATATAAATACTTTTATTTATTTTATTTATTTATTTATTTATTTAACTCAAGATGTTGTTATCGTGTTGAATTTATAGGATTACTCCAGCCTACTGGATAAGACACAAGTAAGTGCCTTGATAGCGCTGTTAAAGGGCGACATGAACAGGCAGTCCTCGACAACAAAACAGGTAATTTTATTCAAGGCAAATGAAGGAGATTATTTTAATGAAACGTGCTGAATCACAATTCGAATCTAAATAATTCTTTCCTGTGTAGGGTTTGCACAACTTAAATGTTTTTGCACAAACAAACGAAAATAATTTCAGGTTCACTCGGCTCTGTGTATACGCGGCGTGGCTTGCAAGGGCTTGCTCGGGTAATGGTCCGAGTTCCGCTTTTCCTCCTCCAGTCCCCCTCGGCTTTTAAGATAAAAAAAAGAAAAGAAAAGAAACATTTGCGCGAATACTGAGCAAAAACTGTATGGAGCCATGTTTTTTGCATGGCTTTCTCCTCCCCCATTTTCTTTCAAGGGAATATGTCATTTCCTAAGCGTCACGCTTCAGGCGAACGGCAAATATGGCCCAAGCCTCTGTTTTAAAGCTAGGGTTGTGAAGCATTGAAACATAGACCTATGTTAATTTAATTTCATTGCTTTTTTTCTGTTTCATTTTTGCGCAGTTTAAACTCATACAAAAACTGGCATTTGGAAAGGAGAGTGGCAAAATGGCGAAAAGCGCAGCGTAGCAATGTCTTCTAAACCGTCGCTTTTTTACTGTTCTTTGTAAATGACAATTCTTTTCCGTTTTCTTCTTCCTCTTTACTACATTTACGTAGATTTTTGCTAACTGCAAAGGATTAAAGGTCTTTTTGGAAATGGACGTCTACGAGGAGCTTTTGAATATTAGTTTGGAAGATTTACAGGTATGAAAACTACTTAGGAAACAAATGAATCAGCCTCATGGGGTTGATTTCTAAAGAAAGGTAAACTGTGTTGTTTCGTCAATGAGAGAGTGAAATGTAAAAATTTGCTTTTATCAACTCATTTGAAAAAGTCAACAAACCGGCGTCAAAAGATTGAAATGCTTTAAAGACTGGAATAAACAAATCTTAGGTGCGTTTTTATTGACATTGCGCTGTTTCTTTGCCGCTTGTTAACCGAGTATAACTAACACTAACGCATCAGTAGAACTACTTCTCGTAGGGATGATCGAACGTATGAGGACTTTTATTGTTGTATCCACAACTACCCGCCTCCTTTTTCTACACAAATCAAAATATTTAGTCCAAAGAAATTGATCTGATATTTACTTTACCGTCGCCAGACCGAGTTCAACCGAGATCAGCACCATGTTACACTGGAACTCAACGTACAAAACGTGGAGGTAAGATGGTTTCAGTGTTCCACGTGTAAATAACTGTTTTGTTAAGTTCAAAGGATACACAGCGAAAGATGACGAACGTTCGACAAAGTGCGCGTCAAACTCGACTGCCAGTCTTCTATTTTCTCGCGACCAGGTGGCACTACTTGATGTGGCGCACTCGCGCGGAGGACTGAGGTTATGGGTTTTGGGTGTTACCCATACCTCGCACGTTTTAAGAACAGTCTAGGAACGCATCAGTTCTAGTTCGGAAAAGTGTGCCACACTTACAAAATAAAACCTTTAATCTTTCTTTTCTCAGGTAGAAGACTGCATCAATAAAATAATTGCTTTTCAACAGCAACGTTCTAGCGATGAGAGTGCCCCGTTCCTTCTGCGGTTTTCACTTGTGATGGATGCGGTCGGTGAAGACGAAAGAGTGGCCATTAAGGTACTTAACGTTCGCAAATTGGCCGTCCCAATATACCTTCTCATGAGGAAAAAACTGTACGCTATCAAATCTGTATTAAGTCATCAATCTGCTCCCATCCCGCAGCAATCGAGCCCGAGGGTGGGGGGATACTTTGGTTAATGTTTGCTGGGTATGTGCCGCTGGCATCTCAGAGCCCCTGCCCCATTATAGTCTATTTTTTGGCCAATTATAGACCCCATCCTAGTCACTTTCTGGAAAATGTAATTTTCGCGATCCCAACTTAGTCACTTTCTATTTATGCATCCTGACCTTATCAACGTGGTTTCAAGCGGCGGAATGTAATGCGGTGAATGCGAGCTTATTGTTAAATTTAATAAGCAACAACTTTCTGATTTTTTAACCGAGAATCTTCCCATTTTGAATCCCTACTTACCCCAAAAATCCGAAAATTTGCGACCCCATTTTAGTAAATCTATTGAAATTACAAAATGCGACCCCGTTATAGTCACTCCAGTCGTGAAAATGCGACTCCATCCAGCGCCACATCCCCATTAACCTCTTGTAAGGGAGTACCCCGGCAATCGTCGCGCTCCTAACAGTTGGGCTGATTATTGTTCTTCTTTACTCAGAGAGCTCATACCGAACTAGGAAACTCAAAGGTCAGCGTCCAAGAGATTGTCATTCTCAAGTTACTGCAGTTTGCGGGGATCAAAGAGAAAACTCAGTTATGGGGCGCAACAGCAGCAGGACAGAGCGAACAATCCACTGAAAATCTACCCGCTTTCTTGACTTCAACGAGATATTATTTCGAGAAGCTACAAGTTGGACCATTTCAAACCCTGATGACGTGTAACCCTGCCACTAAACTTCCCCTTGAACTAAAGGATTTAAAAACCGCGTTAGAGATTCCGGCTGGGTTTCCGCCTTTGATGGAAAATGCAAATGTACAGTTCCGTAAGTAAAACTGCTTAACTGCAAACGTCTTGTGCTTTCTTTTGTTTGTTGGGAGGGATCGTAATGGGGAAGTGTCATTTACGGTCGGCAGCTAATACTGAGCTTAAAACTTGCAGAGATAACCAGGTGATCAATTTTCACTGGTGTTTTTCACGTTTGCGCTAGCCTGCGAACCGCAGACGCGTTTCCGGTCGTCGCTTCTCTCCCTCCTATTTTTCGGAGGGAGAGAAGCGACGACCGGAAATGCGTCTGCGGTTCGCAGGCTACGTTTGCGCTTATCGTCTGCCCTTTTCAGCATGAGGTGGTTGTTTTTCACGTTAAGAAAAACGTGATTAAAAATTGAGTTTTTTTGTTCTTTCTCGGGTGAATTAACATGATATAGGTGATTGATACAAATAAAAGAACCGATTGGCGGAAGTCAGTTGAAAGCAATTTCAGATCGCGGAAACCCGACTGTCGGCAAACAACGTAGAGATAAATTCACCATCGTGACAAGAAGCCGGTGATTATTCCATTTTTAAGAGGAAGACCTCCAGGATAACAGCAGGGGTTTTCATTGACAATTTTAAAGAGGTGTTTAAACCCAGCTATCGATGATTGATTTTTCCTTCTTGCTTTATTATTTCAGGAGAATTTCTGCGAACAGGTATAGCTTACAAGGCTTTAGTTTCTCTGGGACGGGACGCCAGAACGCATTATCTTAAGGTTAGGCGTCGCTTCTGAAGGTCCTATATTTTACAAATATTTTTCGACGGTGACAAATAATTTGAGAACGTGGAAGAAGTAGAACTACACGTAGGCTAAAGTTTGAGTGTTACGCTAACAATCACAGGGTTCGTACGGGTTATGGAAAACCTGGAAAGTCATGGAATTTAAGAATTGCAGTTTTTTAGGCCTGGAAGGCCATGGAATATAATTGTCGGTCCTTGAAAGTCATGGAAAATCTAAGTTTTGTTTGGTAGATTAGTTACTGCACATGACAAAGCATGGACAATGTACGATAGAGAGATGTGATTGAACAGCGCAAACGGCACGCATTTAGGTGGACACCTGAGTTTGTGTCTCTGAACTGTGTATGATCCAAAAATGCCCTAAAACACAAAAGCTTTAAAAATTATAAAAAGTGACAGCTAAACCTAAAGTCATAGAAAAAGTCACGGAAAGTCTTGCAATTTGAAGAGCGTAAAAGAGTACGAACCCTGTACTCGTTTTAGTCAGGTCACTATGACTTAGCATCATTCACACTCAGGTACTTTTTGTTCAACAATTTTCCTTTCAATTTTGTTAGGAAATCGGCAGCCAGTCCGCGTCTCTTCTGGGTTCACTCCATTTGCTTGGTAACATTTCCAGTTTACAGGAGGAAATCGCTGATGGGCTGGCAGATCTGAAGGAGACTGGGGACTACATTGGATTTGTGAAACATGTGAGAGGGGGTTTGGCCGAGTCCTACTACAAGGTGAGGGCGAAATAAAATCTCGCGGAAATCGGTGGTGATGTTGTGGTTCAATTTTATCATTGGTTTAAACTTTATTTTCCTTTGTTTCAAACTTGTTATCATAAATTACCATACCCGAAAACAAAGGAAAATAAACCAGGGATGAAATTGAACCACAACAGTAAGAGTAGCGTGGTCGAAAACTTGGATTTGCAATCGTAAATTTTTCCCGTCTAATAACAGGCTGACCTACAATGAAGTTTCCTGGATGAAACATGCTCAGATACACCGTTGTACAAGAGCGCAATGTCTTGAACTAAAGCAAAGAAATCCTAGATTATTTATTACCTGCGCGCAAGTAACTGCGATATTATATCTAGCTGGATTTTTGACAAAGTACGTAGCTGAGAGAGTAGCTACCAAAAATTGCAGTCATTTGACTGAAGAAAGGCCAAATGGGAAAGTTTCTTGCATCCGAAAATCACATTACAGAAAGAAAAGTAGTGGAAAAATAGAGAGCATCGAGAAAGAGGGGAGGAGAAGAGAAAAAGAGCAATGGTTGCCCTCAGTTTTTAAATTAGCTACTTTGAGCGAAAAAAAAAACAATGGTGGACGGAAGAGATCTATTTTGCCTTGGTAGTACGCGTTTTTAGAAATCCAGCTAGATATATATACACATAAATCTATAACAACAACAACAATGTATTTATTTAAAGAAATATAAAGTTTACAATACTTTATGTCCTGCAAATAGCTATAATGCTAATCTAGGCAGGACAAGACTTTAAATAAAGACGTTATTAAATTACATAAGATAAAAAGGAAAAGAAAAGAAATATAATAACACACAGAAAGAAACACCTTCCATATACATTTAAATAGAGGGGATTTTGTTATTTGAAAAATCTATATATTTTTTCGATATGAACGGAATATGAGTACCGCTAACCTGGCCTATGGTACAGAGTTCATATCAGGGTACCTTGTGACCTTGCCATGGGAAAACCATCGATTTTGTTCACGACACCTTTAGTCATAAAGGATTAAAGTTCATAACTGTTACTTTAACCCCCTTCATATTTTTGCACCGACTTGACGACTCCCTACTATCTTCGTTGGAGAAATTAAGCCTTCATTCCCATTAATTCTGATTTTTAAAAAATCCCTGCTTTTTTTTAATATCATTGTAGATTGGATTCCCTTTTTTACCAATGTATCCACTTCCGTTTTTAACATCTCTCAATTTTTTAAATCTCTAGAATTTTTAAGATCTTTTATTATAATCAATATTTGTAAATAGGCTTTTTATCATGATTGCTGTAATTTATTATTATCAATTTTGTTTTTAGAGGGCCAGTAGGGAAAATACTTTTCATAGCAATTGGTGTCACCCTCTTAAAATATAGGTTACATATATAAAATACCTTTCATCGATTCAAGCTGTTTTCACGTTTGAGGTAAAAAATGCCAAAATTTCGTAATTTAGGATTGTCACATGATAAATACCTGCAATCTTTTCAACAACGGAGTTACGAAATATCGGACGATGAGCCATTGCCAGTAACATTTGTTTGTTTGCTCTTGGGTCATTTTAACCGTTTTGTTTACAGTTCGCTGATTCGTGGTCCGCGACTATAAATCAGTCAGCTGCGGCAAGACGTGAAAGTAGTTCTTCATCTAGTGCTTCTGTAGCTGTGGGGGATAATTCTTCCGCGCCCATGAAGTCCGTACGCAGTGTTGTGGAAAGTTTAACAAGCCTTATTCTCAGTCCTTCAAGAGACGCGAGTCTGGGAAAACAGCAGGTATTGTATTCATTATTCATTATTTCCTTATGTTGCTTTCGGGTTGCGTTGCCTCGTATCTATGTGGATGGGTTACGGTCGTTTGGATGCAAATTCTTTTTTCTTTTCGATACAAGTCGAAATGTATTTAGTTGCACGTACTTGGCTTAAAGAACAAAGAATATTCACCCAAAATGTTTTTCTTGTTGACGCGCAAACTATACTTGAAGTGATTAAAGTTTTGGTGCAATTTCACCCGCTGAGTCCGTATCGGAACGACCCTGTTCCATGTTAACCGCGTGTTTTCCCGCCTTGAAGGGGAATGGGTCTAATCATTTCATTTTGAAAAAACCCGTCGAACTCGTTTGCGAAATCAGAGTAAAAGCGACCTCTGAGTAAAGAGAAGTTAGGCCGACATTTAATAGATTCCAGTTAGTAAAGCCAAGTGTTATGAAGAAAGAGTGTAGCGTGATTATGAGATGGCGTGATTTTATTCCTTTTAGATTTTGTTATTAATAGTTTCACTCGTCCGTCAGAGCGACAGAGAACTTAATGACAGATCGGATTAAAAACTAAAGCTTATAGATTCGCAGAAGTCACGATTTCATGTAGTGTGCCATTGTGCTTTGAGGATTGAAGCCTGTTTTTGCTTAAAACTGTGATATCGTGAAGAACGGCCCATCGGCATTCACGACACCAAGATTTAGTCTCTTGATTAAGCTTTCAAGTCCCTGGAGTGACCAACATCAATTTTCTCCTAACAAAATCAATGCATCATCCGGGGAAAAGTACATGAGAATTAACCAAATGATCATCGAGGGGAAAAATCTTTGATCTTTAATCAAGTCCTCTAAACTAATTTGTTAGCACAATGTATGTACGTAAGTCTACTGGACAATTTTTAGCGTGGCTTTTAGGGATTAAAGGATTCAGTACTCTTTAATTTAACTTCCTAAAAGCCAAAAATTACATGGTGATTGTAGGCAAAAGTTTATCATATCGCATAAGCGGGTATATCCGAACGCCACTTCGGTCGACAAAATTTGTCAATTAAGTACCGTGAATCCCAGAGACTTTTTATGGGCGGTTTTCTGTTTCAGTCAAGCCTCTATAAGAACCACGTGAAAAGATTTTATTGCTCGCGGCTTCGCTTCTTTTGATCAATTTCGAAACATCCTGATGTGCGGGAGAAGAAACCTTCCGGCTGATAACCAGTTATTTATACGACTCCTTTAAAGGATAAAGCTGACAGCGACAGTTTTTAAGTGAATCTTTCTGCACGGATTACCATCGAATGTAAGAGATTCCGGAATCCAGCAAGTTTTTGCTGCTTGTGGAATCCAGAATCTTGGGCTTTGAAATCTGGAATACAGCTCAAGGAATATGGAATCTCACTGTCGATTGGAATCCAGCGGAATCCAAGGTCTCCTGACAAAGAATCCGAAATCCACGGCGTGGAATCCACATCCAAGATGTCCCTGTCCCTTACAAAGAGCGAAATCAAGATTTCACCTTTTCACCGTAGTTGATAAAGGCGATTTTAACTGTTTCATTCCTCTTCCTTCTCCTTCTCACAGCCTACAAAATGTAGTTCTTGTATTTTAGGGCCTGTTTACATGGAGTGGGGGACCCCGGTCTGGTGGGGTTGGTTTCTTTTGTTTTCACGCTCCAGGGGACACAAAACAAAAGAAACCTACCCCTCTAGACCGGGGTCCCCCACGCCATGTAAACAGGGTCTTAGAAACTAACGGGTACCGCAGGTTTTATTCTCGCGTGCGGCGAGGGTTGTCCAATACTCACAAATAGACTCCATTGGTGTTAGTGGTGATAAGAAGGGTCTCCATTGGTACCAATGGTACGATTGGTACCAATAGAAAAGCACCCTATTCCAATGGTTCTATTGGTGAATATGCATCTCATTAAGGAGACTTAGATTATTTTCTCATGTGGTCTGGCTGGGTACAGGGCAATTCCAATGGTCCATTGGTACCAATGGTACGATTGGTACCAATGGAAAAGCACCATATTCCAATGGTTCTATTGGTGAATATGCATCTCATTAAGGGGACTTAGATTATTTTCTCATGTGGTCTAGCTGGGTACAGGGCAATTCCAATGGTCCATTGGTACCAATGGTACGATTGGTACCAATGGAAAAGCACCCTATTCCAATGGTTCTGTTGGTGAATATGCATCTCATTAAGGGGACTTAGATTATTTTCTCATGTGGTCTAGCTGGGTACAGGGCAATTCCAATGGTCCATTGGTACCAATGGTACGATTGGTACCAATGGAAAAGCACCCTATTCCAATGGTTCTATTGGTGAATATGCATCTCATTAAGGGGACTTAGATTATTTTCTCATGTGGTCTAGCTGGGTACAGGGCAATTCCAATGGTCCATTGGTACCAATGGTACGATTGGTACCAATGGAAAAGCATCCTATTCCAATGGTTCTATTAATGAATATGCATCTCATTAAGGAGACTTAGATTATTTTCTCATGTGGTCTAGCTGGGTACAGGGCAATTCCAATGGTCCATTAGTACCAATGGTACGATTGGTACCAATAGAAATGCACCATATTCCAATAGTTCTATTGGTGAATATGCATCTCATTAAGGAGACTTAGATTATTTTCTTATGTGGTCTAGCTGGGTACAGGGCAATTCCAATGGTCCATTGGTACCAATGGTACGATTGGTACCAATGGAAAAGCACCCTATTCCAATGGTTCTATTGGTGAATATGCATGTCATTAAGGAGACTTAGATTATTTTGTCATGTGGTCTGGCTGGGTACAGGGCAATTCCGATGGTCCATTGGTACCAATGGTACGATTGGTACCAATGGAAAAGCACCCTATTCCAATGGTTCTATTGGTGACTAGGCGTCTCATTAAGGGGACTTAGATTATTTTGTCATGTGGTCTGGCTGGGTACAGGGCAATTCAGATGGTCCATTGGTACCAATGGAAAAGCACCTTATTCCAATGGTTCTATTGGTGACTATGCATCTCATTAAGGGGACTTAGATTATTTTCTCATGTGGTCTGGCTGGGTACAGGGCAATTCCGATGGTCCATTATTGGTACCAATAGAAAAGCACCCTATTCCAATGGTTCTATTGGTGACTATGCATCTCATTAAGATGACTTAGATTATTTTCTCATGTGGTCTGGCTGGGTAAAGGGGAATTCCAATGGTCCATTGGTACGAATGGAACGATTGATACCAATAGAAAATGATGTCATTCCAATGGTTCTATTGGTGAATATGCATCCATTATAAAATAAAAATCTCCGTCGATTCACATGTTTATGAGTGATAAGGAGACATTCAAACTTCTGCTGTTTTTCCACGGCAACGGGTGCAATCCTGAAATCATCAGTAGATGGATTCTTCTAGCTCAGTCCTGGGCCTCATCGCAAGCTACAGCCGAGAAAAGAGCACGGCAAATACAATTTGTCAACGACAACGTTGACATTAAATACATCAATGGTTTTACTACGACGTTGATTATAGCAAACTGGTGTACCTCAATGGGTTACCACGACAAACCCCACGTCAACAGTCAAAAGTGACTCAGTCACTTGAATATAAAACGGCTCTCTTAGGAGCCACCAAATACAATACAAAGTCATAACCAACAGCATGATATAACCACCCTTTTCGGAAACTCTTTATGTAGATAATGAAATTGCGCTAAGAAATTTCAGAAGTTAATTTCACAGTGAGTTGAGTACAGTTGTTAAAACCTGTTGCCTCAATACCACTTTGCTAGTTTCGCGCCTTTCCGCGTTGTTTTGGGTTCTTTTAACGAGTAAGAATTACCAAAAAATAGTGCTTGCGTACACAGGAAAGAAGACATTCATATGTCATGTTGTTGTTTGCTCGTGAATCACAATAAACAGAACGAACACGACAGTGACGCGTTACCTTTCAATTTTAATGTTCGTAAGATGTTTGTTATACTCGCAGCACCTTGAGATATTATTAGCGCTAGATACATAGGTCGCCCTCGCTTTGTAACTATTAGCGCGTTTCTACTTTGTGTGAAAGGGAACTTGTTTTGCGTGGTTAGCCAATAGAACGAGGAATATTCAAAAGAATTATGGCGCGTTTTTAATTGGTGTAATAGCGAACTTGTTTTGCGTGGTTGGCTTATAGAACGAGGAATATTCATAATAATTATTAGCGCATTTTTACTTAGTGTAGAAGGCAACTTGTTTTGTGTGGTTGTCTTATAGAACGAGGAATATTCATAATAATTATTAGTGCGTTTTTACTTGGTGTAAAAGCGAACTTGTTTTGCATGGTTGGCTTATAGAACGAGGAATATTCATAAGAATTATAGCGCGCTTTTACTTGGTGTAAAAGCGAACTTGTTTTAACTTGTTTTGTGTGGCTGGCTTATAGAACGAGGAATATTCATAAGAATTATAGCACGCTTTTACTTGGTGTAAAAGCGAACTTGTTTTGCGTAGTTGGCTTACAGAACGAGGAATATTCATAATAATTATTAGCGCGTTTTTACTTGGTGTAAAAGCGAACACGTTGTGCATGGTTGGCTTATAGAACGAGGAATATTCATAAGAATTATAGCGCGCTTTTACTTGGTCTAAAAGCGAACTCGTTTTGCGTGGTTGGCTTATAGAACGAGTAATATTCCTAATAATTATTAGCGCGTTTTTACTTGGTGTAAAAGCGAACTTGTTTTGCATGGTTGGCTGATAGAACGAGGAATATTCATAATAATTATTAGAGCGTTTTTACTTGGTGTAAAAGCGAACTCGTTTTGCGTGGTTGGCTAATAGAATGAGGAATATTCATAATAATAATTATTGCTTTTTCGAGCTTTTACTTGGTGTAAAAGCGAACTTGTTTTTGTGGTTGGCTTATGGAACGAGGAATATTCCTAATAATTATTAGCGCGTTTTTACTTGGTGTAAAAGCGAACTTGTTTTGCATGGTTGGCTGATAGAACGAGGAATATTCATAATAATTATTAGAGCGTTTTTACTTGGTGTAAAAGCGAACTCGTTTTGCGTGGTTGGCTTATAGAATGAGGAATATTCATAATAATTATTAGCGCATTTTTACTTGGTGTAAAAGCGAACTTGTTTTGTGTGGTTGGCTTATAGAACGAGAAATATTCATAATAATTATTAGCGCGTTTTTACTTGGTGTAAAAGCGAACTTGTTTTGTGTGGTTGGCTTATAGAACGAGGAATATTCATAATAATTATTAGCGTGTTTTTACTTGGTGTAAAAGCGAACTTGTTTTGTGTGGTTGGCTTATAGAACGAGGAATATTCATAATAATTATTAGCGCTTTTTTACTTGGTGTAAAAGCGAACTTGTTTTGCGTGGTTGTCTTATAGAACGAGGAATTTTCATAAGAATCATAGCGCGCTTTTACTTGGTGTAAAAGCGAACTTGTTTTGCGTGATTGGGATATAGAACGAGGAATATTTATAAAATTATAGCGCGCTTTTACTTGATGTAAAAGCGAACTTGTTTTGCGTGGTTTTCTTATAGAACGAGGAACGTTCATAATAATTATTAGCGCGTTTTCACTTGGTGTAAAAGTGAACTTGTTTTGCACCAATAGAACCATTGGAATGGCATCATTTTCCATTGGTACCAATCGCACCATTGGTACCAATGGACCATCGGAATTGCCCTGTACCCAGCCAGGTCACATGGGAAAATAATCTAAGTCCCCTTAATGAGATGCATATTCACCAATAGAACCATTGGAATAGGGTGCTTTTCCATTGGTACCAATCGTACCATTGGTACCAATGGACCATTGGAATTGCCCTGTACCCAACCAGGTCACATGGGAAAATAATCTAAGTCCCCTTAATGAGATGCATATTCACCAATAGAACCATTGGAATAGGGTGCTTTTCCATTGGTACCAATCGTACCATTGGTACCAATGGACCATTGGAATTGCCCTGTACCCAACCAGGTCACATGGGAAAATAATCTAAGTCCCCTTAATGAGATGCATATTCACCAATAGAACCATTGGAATAGGGTGCTTTTCCATTGGTACCAATCGTACCATTGGCACCAATGGACCATTGGAATTGCCCTGTACCCAACCAGGTCACATGGGAAAATAATCTAAGTCCCCTTAATTAGATGCATATGCACCAACAGAACCATTGGAATAGGTTGCTTTTCTATTGGTACCAATCGTACCATTGGTACCAATGGACCATCAGTTTGACGAATCGTATCCGTTTGTGTATATTGGACATGGACATGTGTGCGTGCGGCGGGATGCTTCGTGTGGGCGGCAGGACGATCTACCGCGAAAAGGCGCCGGTAACCAGGTAGCTTTTCGTCCAGGGTCCCGAAACCCAGGTTTAACCTCCATTAGGGGGATACCTTAGTACCTAAAACGGGACTGACCACAAAAAGGGATGATAAGTCAGAGTGTAAACGATTCACAATGATGACAGCTTTCACTACATGAAAAATCTCTATTAAACCGATCAACACACAATACCGCAGAGAAACGTTAATCGTGATTTTTTATACATTATTTACCTGTTTGAAATAATGACTGCACCAGATTCCGAGGCAGAATTAGAAATACAGTGAAACGTCTATTAAGCGGACCCCCAATTAAGCGGACACCCTCTATTAAGCGGACACTAAGCCGGGTCCCGAAGTTAACTTCTTATATTTTCCTTCATAACGAACCCCTATTCAGCGGACACCTCTATTAAGCGGACGCGGACACTAAAATGAATTGTATTTGGCTAGTTTGTATCATTAAAAGCCTCTATTTTAATAGCTTAAAAGTGGACACTGGACTGAATTGACATGAGTAGTACTGGATTACGTACTTGAAATACGCACTGTAGTCGAGTAATAAAAGTCTTGCACAAAGTACAAGTGCAGCACAGCTTCCTTAGCTTCCTTTAATAACAACATGGAACTTTATCACAGTACAGAGCAGCCGTTGAATGTAAATCATTAACAAACATTGCGCAATTCAGACACCTGTTGGGAATCGCCTCCCGTATTCATAGAAATCCACGACAATTCACTTGATGTAACTTTATTCACAATAACGAATCCCAAAGTCACAGTTTTCGCAACTCACACACTCACAGATTTTCGGCACAACAAGTTGGTTTTGATAGCGTGATCTTGTCCCTCCGACTTCCCACAATACACATGAAACCTAACCTATATTATTATAAAGTGATTAACACTAAGTATTATTTCCACGATATCCATTTATCTTATCAGTTATCACGGTTCACTTCGTGACTGTTCCTTGAATATACCGGAGATCATGAGCTAATTATTTAGCAATCAACGTTGCCATCAACTTGAAAAAGGATTCAATTCAATTTGTACGCACACTATTGGCGCACAATTCCCAACACACCCTCTCGAAGAGGTTTCACCGTATATATTTTCTTTGTTGGGGTATTATTAACAAACCCCAGCCCAACCTCCATTCAGGGAACGCTTGCCTTGGTCCCGAGGGAGTCCCCTGAATAGAGGTTCCACTGTATAATCATTTTAGTCAAATGAGTCACGTCATACTGGTTGTTTCTGTATTTTCTCATTTACTTAGATATCCAACCCCCCAACTGCCTCGCCTTCAGGCAGTCCGAGAACACAGGAGACCTCCAGGAGACTTTTGCCAATAGATTACGAAGATCCTGATTCGTCCGGAAGTGAAGAGAGCAGTTTATCCTGCATTCAGTCGCTAGACGGCTGGGAGATGGTGTCAAGAGACGTCCAGAGAAGACAGAAAGGTCAAGAATTTTTACGGAGGTTGCAAGTTAGCTTATGCGGAGAGGAAAACAAAGACGAAAGGTAAGCTGTCTTGTAGATGTGTCAGGTCTGCGCCAAACGTCGAATTTTCCATGCGACGAACTAAACTGGGTGATGAGAGTTTGGATCTAGAAACACTTTTCATCCGTCAGCTTCAGACGGATAGACGATCTGAGGATGCCGCGGTTTATTCCATTGAGCTATTCACTGGAATAACGAAAAGAATCGGTTATAAACGGGTTTACCCAAGTCGTGTTCCCACCTGTAACCTTTCGCGCCCTATTTTTTCTTGGCAACTTATTTGAACGCTTTTTTAACTTCGACGATTGATCCAGCAGTCAATCGTAACTAGACTAATGTCGACTCAAATGGCAATTTGTTTCGTCTCACTGCCTTGGGCTAAATGCCGTTATTCAGGCAGTTGATGTCACTTCCGACCCTCCTGATGTAAAGTTTGCCTTCACTTGTTCTGCTCATTTTTTTGTGGGTAAAAATTTACATGATAACTATTGTCATGATCAAAATGATCGTTTACCATTGAGCAGGATTTTAGTTCAGTACTTGGTGTTTATTATGCTGTACGAGGCGGTTCAGTGTAATTCGCCCTCTAGTGGGAAACATACGAACTTCTTTTTAAGTCTACAATTGGGTTAGTTAATTTCTTATCTTTATAACAAAATTGAGCGGTAAAAACACGACGTTTCGACAATTACCTGTCGCCAGCAGCAAGAGTAAATGACAAGAATGGCAATAATCTAAACAGAAAAGAAAGTGTGAATTTACATTGAAATAAGAAAGTGTAGAAACAAAAGAACTTGCATAAGTGACAAGTTTGGTGGTAATGTAGTCGTCTGTTTGAGTGTTTAACGTCGGTCTCCTAGGAGTATCTCAGCATAAGTGAAGCACGCAAGTTTTCGACAGTACCACTTTAAGCTGGTAAATAGCTTCCAAAGATTGGTCGGCTATTGATTGTATTTCTCGTTGAGGTATTTCCAAATTACAGCGTATTAATGCTTCTCAGAGCGCTGGTCAAGGTGACGGCCGCTCGTGTTGCCTACATAATTTGCGTCGCACAAATTTGCATGTAAATTTATTAACAAGACATTGTGGGTTGACGGCTGAAAGTTTGTCGGTTGTTTCGCTGCATCATGAGGTGGATTCGGTGCAAAGTATTTTTCGTTTCAAAGCCCTGTTTTCATTGAGTACTCTTCTCGTTTTACCTATTCACGTAAAGAGCTATGTAATGCTTCTGTCTTCACCGTGAAGCTAAGCTAGCTAACATCCCCGCTCATCAGGCTAGTTTCCGAGAGTGCGTTAAAACGAATCCAGAGCAAGAATCAAGCAAGAGGTATCGACACGTTTATGGAGAATGTAGCAAAACTGGACCACTGGGTTCATCTATATTATCATAGAACGAAGTTCAGGGGCACCCAACGAGAATATAGTTCAAAACCACTTAAACATAGCATTGTTAAACGTATTTGTATAGGTAATAGTTCAAAACCAGCCTTTAGGCGAGTGAAATTTGAGACAATTTTGAAAAACATAGCACTATTAATTGTGTAGGTATTTCAAAAACGAAATACCACTTTAAGCCAATCAAATTGCAGAAATTTCTCACGTAGTAGTATAATAGTATTTAAACGGTAGATATAGGCATATTTTTATCCCCTAGAAATTTTCCATCTGTTCGGATCTCCTAGCTGGAAGTCTAGTGATCCGAAAATTGTAGGGATCAAAACTTACCTTTTCGAAAATTTCAGCCAGAAAAAAGGCTCCCGAAAATTCTAGGTGACCTTTTAAGGGTAAAAATCCGTTAAAAATGGGCAGTTATACCGATTTTTAGATGTTCGAAAACCCTAGGAGAGGTAGGCAAGCAAGAAATTTTACAACAAATGTTCCGAAAATTCTAGATCGCAAATCGTCTTCCGAACAGATATTTTCCGAAAATTGTCGTTGGGTGCCCCTGGAAGTTCTCCGTTGCACTCCTTAGGAAAACCATGTTAGTATACGACTTGACCAGGCACCCAACGACTGTTTGCTGTAAAATATCTGTTCGAAGACGCAAATATTGCCTAGAATTTCTTATTACTTGAGGACAGCTAAAAATTTGTAGATGACCGTTTTATTCATACAAAATTTTCGAAGCTCATGTAATAAATCGCCCATGATTTTCTGAAGTTTAATTTTTCGCATTTTACTCCTCAGGTTAGGTTATTTTTCATAGGAAAAAGAAAACCTAAAATTTTGTACTACGTTAAATTGCATTTTAAAATTTTTCGGAAAAATATTACTGAAGCCCTGGTAATTTCTAAAAGACTCACGTTCCCCTAGGCTGACTGAACAGATACCAATTTTATAGCGCCGCTTAGAATGCATTTTTAGATATCTAAAAGTACTTTGGCTGGCCTAAAAAAAGTGTTTTCAGTTTATTTAACGGAAACCGTCGTAGGGTGCCCCTGACTTGAGAAGGTCGCAATCGCGCCCTTAAGTTAACAAACCAAAGCTAAAAGCCACCAAGTTTGATATCTGTAACAACATCGCTTAAACCAAACTTTTCTGCATGTTTTCCCGAATTAATACGCAGACTACTGCGAGACAACTTCAATATGCAGCGAAACGACTTGTAGCGAGATGAATCTGTAGTTAAACGACCGGTAAGCGACTGAAGAGGGCTTTATCTCTGTAACATTAAGGTCTTCTACAGTTTGCTTACTTGTAAACATTGGTTGTAACACTCGGTCGATATTTCCAAAGCCGACCAATGTTAAGGAGAAATTTACCACCATAAGTAGGCTCGATTTCCGCCGTCTCCCGAATCCGCTCTTTGATCCTGAGTGCGGGCTCACTTCCCCGTCAGCGGCTGATAATCGAGCCTACACCTAAGAAAATGCTGTGGAAAATTATTTGCATTTGTTGGCAACTTCCTTTAGGCACAACTTTTTGAAACTGCCTAATTTTACGTTTTATGGGGGACGTTAACACAAGACAACCAACTTTTTTTAAAAAAAAACCTAGTCCTTTAGAATTCAACTCCAGAAACGTTCACCAACATTTGACAAATCGAACGTCATTGAATGAGACCGATGAATTTCGAAACAGCGCGAATTTACGTTTTGTCGTCGTCGTTGTTTAAACTGCCTATCGATACGAATAACAAGCGTAGTTTTTTAGGGGAAAAATTCTTTTATTTTGCCTTAATAAATTGTGCGTGGTACTAAGATCCTTAATCGCGTACTAAAATTTTCGTCTGTGAAAGGTTTGAACCCAGGAGTCATTTCAAAAGGTTGAGTTTGATCGTCCGGGTGAACGTAGTCCTGAATAGGACTGTTGTTGTTGACAGTGACTGACGTTTCGACAACCTGTGCGGTAGTCATCTTCAGAGTCAAAGTGAGTTGTATCACGTCAGTTGATGGTATTATACTCTGGTTATTGATCTGATTGGTCAATTATGTCGCGATGTTATTGGTCGTCTGTCAGTTAAGCCGTGATGTTGTTGGCTATGAAGGCTCGTAATCAGTGATTGGTGCGTTTCGATCCGTCTATTGTCACAGTTAAACAGTCGTCTATTGTTAGTCAAATTGTCAGTTCTCCAGTTGTTCTCTCGTAGTTAGTTTTGCTTGATCTCGTCAATAAGTCGTTTGTACGGCGCTGGTAACTGCTGGCTACGATTCACTTATCCAAATTAAAATCAAAACACTTTTATTACAGATTTGTGAGCTGTTTAAAGCTTCGTCATTTGAATCCTGACGATAAACTCAACGCCCTGGTAACGAATCACAGCGTGTACTTCATGAAGGTGGGGTCACCATCAGCTGATCACGTGGTTTTAACCATAAAACTTCTGCACCTTTACAAGGCAAGACACAGAAATCAAGGTATGCAATCAGTTAGTTATTGTTCACATAAAGGTGTAATAATAACAGTGACTAGAGTTTCTTGTTTTGGTGCCTTGGCTAAGTAAACTAACCTTGGAATTTTGGATAGTTAGTGGCTTACACGAAGAGATTGCTTTTAAGGCCCCATCCAAAGAGCCTGCACTACAGACGAAACACCTCTTTGAAGTCCGTTTGCGAGTCAGCGCCGAAATCCTTTTTTTGGGCCCCCACTTGAGTATACGCCATGATTGGCCTGCTAACAAAGCCATTGTCATTGATCGCACGGGGAAATTCCTTTGTAATTGCCTTATTGTAGACCATTTAACTGATGTACACCGTAAAACTAATGTCTTAGGCTTCCCGCAGGGTTAAATCGTATGCGGCAGACGTGCACCGAGTAAGTCAGCAGCGATATGCTTGATCAAATATACGAAACCTAAACAAGTCGTAACCCAATAGTCTCGCTTGAATCGGCTCTTAAACAAAGTCTCTTGTAAAATGTTTTCGTCTTTGTTGAATTTAAGTAATGATATAATGACGCTTCTCTGTTTGCAATTTCAGATAACGAGCATTATCTGCAGTTATTGATGAAAATATCAGGAGGCAGGCGACTGTCCCTCCCCTCCCCTAACCCTGCCGACAGCCCCCTTGTCCGGTGTGACAGCGTCAAAGTTGCCCAGAAAGCAGCGAATATAATCAACCAAACAAAGAGAAACAGAGAAGATAGTACATTCAGATAGCAGACGTTAGGACCAAAATATCGCTATACAACTCGAGCAACGACAATGATCGCTAGTGTGATGTCTTTTGAGCAAGACTGGCTATCAATCTTCTCTGTAACGAGTAGTCGGAAATGTGAGTCGTCTCCACGTCCTAATCCGTGGGGGGCGCGGGAGACACTCGTGACAACTTCAAACTGCATGAAAGCTTGAAAGCAAGGTTCAGCATCGTTTTCCACGGCTGCTGCCTTTCTGTATCCTACCTCGGGTCGACAAAGCTTTAAAATTTAATGCAGCAATGGTATGGAATCTGCCCAGTAGTTACTCACAGAGCCTTGTTTTCAATGAGGAGTCATGTTTGTCTGGATCTCTCTCTCTCTCCCCTTTTTGTGAAATTCACCTGAAAAAGGCTGTCGTTTTGCATCCCGTGGAATTGTCTAGGAAGTGACGAAGAGAGTAGCCTTCTAGTAAGCTCTCTGTAGGGGGGACGGGTGGGGAAGGGAGGGCATTTTCTGCGCCCTCGAGTGGGGTTAAGTTGCCCACAGGCTGCAAAAGAGACAGAAAATGTTAAATAATTATAATCATCGTCGGCCTCGGTTTAATCATTTTTCTGGGGAATTCATTACGAACCCCTATCTGGGAAATAGTGTTCGCTATAACAGGGGGTATTGTCCCTTACATTTTACTATAACTGGGGCTAAAAATATATATATATATATATATCATTTAGTAAAATCCAACTAGTGGTCTATTATCAATGCTGCGTTCTGACTGGATGAGCTAGTACTAGGCTATATGTTATTGCCCACTAATAGCGAAAAGCATCGGCTTTGAAAACCAAAACAATGGCGGCTTAATCGCGTTTTACTAGCTTAAGTTGTTTTGTCTCGATATTTTTGACCAACTAGTTGGATTTTACTAAAACAATTATTCCTCTCGCCCTCATGGCCCCTGAGTGAATAGCGAGCCCATTCAGGCTCGAGGAATAATTGTTAAATATATTATATGGGCGTGTTCGTTGTAATAGGGAGGGGTAGTAGAAGGGTGTCGGGCGCCACATAAAATGAGTCGCAGATAGTCTAAGCCGTCGGTATCAAGTAAATTGTAAGGTATTGACTATCGAGTATTGATATTGTTTTGGATAAGTATTATTTTAAAAGCAAATTATATTGTAAATAAAATGTTAGAATAAAAACGTAGCGTTTTTAGGTGGTGCGTATAACATTCTTGCAAATTATGCATTCAACCCTAATCACAGTGCAAGGGATTACAGGATCTTGAAAAAAGTCAGTCTTTCTCGTGGTTACGGTCAAATCCCGCTCTACTGACACCTCATTATTAGTCTGCTTCGTCCCTTGTAAAGAAAACCCACACATTTTTTAATTTCGTGTATACGGACATTTTCTATGCCCCCTCACTGTCCGTATTAGGGAGTTTAAGAAACAACGACGGAAAAGGCTACGAAAATAATTTTAAATAATGTCGCAGCCAGCAGCAGCATCAAGGAAGCAAAAGTACAGTCAACTCTCTCTAAGACGGACACCTTTGGGACCGGCACTAAGTGTCCGTCTTAGAGAGGTGTCCGACTTATAGAGAGTCAAATAAAAGGAGTAAAGAAAGGCAGGGACTAACTCCAAGTGTCCGTTTTACAGAGGTGTCCGTCTTTCAGAGGTGTCCGTTAAGAGAGAGTCGCCTGTATTACTTATATTTACCGCTCCTGAATGAATTCAGCGCTATCCGGGGGAGGTCGTTGACTTCACTGAACGAAAAGCCTATTAGATTATGTATTTGTTCATAAACGCCCACGTTTTCATGCACTTGGCCTCTTGCTATTCAAATGCGGAGTCCACACGTAACCGTTTGCATTTTAAAACGAACTTGGCCTGTTCCAGGCATCGAGATAATAGAGAGAGACCAAGCCTGCAAACAAACTGTATAATTCTGGCGAGCGATGAAAACCACGAGTCCTCACAAATAAACAGCATCGAAGTATGACAGTAGAATAAATGTCACAAAATCAAGCCAAGGTGAAGCGGTACCTTTGGCCTTCGGGCATTCTCTGTTTAACGTCGTCCTCAACCATTTCTTACTTAAATTGCGGGCGTTTAGCATTGTTTAGGGTTAAAACGTTATCGATACACCACGAATTCGCGCGGCCCCTGTTCAAGCAAATCGAGATTTTTTTCTGGTATACGCCACTTCCACATTTCTGATAATGCACCATATTTGCCCCTCAAATTTTGCATAACCTTTGTTTTTCATTTCTCCTGGGTACTACAGCCGTCCCAAGAGAAATTGAACAATGCTTCCGCAATATTTTGGGGGGCAAAAAGGTGCATTATCTGAAATGTGAAGTGGCGTAGACTAACTTAACTAAGCATATTTTATATACGCGCGAGCTACTATTTATTTATTTACCAGCTTTTCTGGACACAGGCCAGCCCAGAGGGAATGTTCACGAACGGGTCTCAGGTCCCAAGCGAGGTGCTATCCCTAACATCCCTACCCAATCCCACAACCCGTAATGGTTGGCCACACCACCGGGGTCTACGACCCTTAATCTTTTCGAATAGTGATGTGGGTTCTTTTACGTCTCACTATACCAAAAAAGGGAAAGTGCTGTGAACGGGACCCACGGTTTTTCGTCCTTATCCGAGAAGACTAGAAAGTCTAACCATTTGCAGATGCCATTACAAAGGCAACACTTTCTTCTCAGTTACTTAAAAACCCTGAGTGTTGGTCCGGGCGGGATTTGAACCCGCGACCTCCCTCTCGGAAGACCGGCGCTCTCCCAACTGAGTCAACCCACAGGGAGCCCACACAACCTGTTTGTGTAGCCGATTGTTATTTTATAGTAAATGTACTGGATTTACCGTTTGCTTCACCTATAACGATATATCGCTAACTATGTATATAAATCAAATGAATTTGAGGTCGCCGTTGACTGTTCCTTCTTGTATATGGAACAGTCAACGGCGAACTCGAATTCATTCAAAATCGCTCAAAAAACCGCTTTTGAGGTAAAAGGACGACTATATACCACAGGTAAGGTAATTCAACGTTTATTTATCATTAATTTATATACATAGTTAGCGATATATCGGTATAGGTGAAGCAAACGGTAAATCCAGTACATTTACTATAAAATAACAATCGGCTACGCAAACAGATTGTGTGGGGGCCCTGTGGTCAACCGGGCCTCCTCAGGATCTCGGGAGTCTGGGCGAAATCCCTGCAGGGGCAACAATAATATGTTTACAACAATAGATATCTCACAATTGTTTGCATTGTTTTATATTTAACACTACCATTCTCAGGAGTGACTAAGAGGCAGAACACAACATGCGCTTCTTGTCTGATGACATTTTCCATTTCGCTTCGTAACAAAGCATAAATCACCGGATCCATGAGAGCGTTGGAAATGGAGCCTAGTTAGTTCATTCAAATCATTTACTTTTTAGTAACTGTACTACTGGCCTGCGTAGAAAGCGTTTCCTCGCGAGTTCGTCGAGAAACTAGGAAACGGACGCAAAAAAGAGGAATTTTGTTCTCGCCCCAACTTTTGCGCAATATATCGATCGGAAACGCTCGCTAGGCAGAAGCTAGTCTCCTGCATCACTCCAACAAAAGGTTCAACTTTTAAAAGCGTCAGCTTCGTACTTTGGCACAGGACCGCAAAGCTTAAAAGCGCATGGAGGTCGACTGTTGGCATCACTGGGATCATGGGAACCCCATAAGCGCCTCAGCCGAGCGGAGGGGCGCAGGGTAATTAACTTCCGTTACCGCGAACACTACACACTTTTCTCTAACAACTTTATTTGAACAATGCACAAACAATTAAAAACTAATAATTAATAAAGAAAAGTAAGTTTCCTTACTACATAGATAAATAAATAAACAGAATAACAACAACAACAACAAATTTTATTGAAAATTGGAAATATAACTAATTACATTACTTTCCCACCTGCAAATAGCTTATAAACTAATGGAGGCGGGGGAAGCTGAAGACATATTACAAGTACAAGGTTTATCTATAGATGGACTAAATAACAGTGAAGACACTACCATACAGTAAATAGAATAAACTAACATAAAACAAGGCAAGTACATAGCGATTACGAAGAAAGGCTAACCTAGAGTATTAAATAACTTAATAAGACGGGAGACTTCGACATAATCATCTTCTGACCGTAAGAAATTTGGTAATAATTCCTCTATTTTTTTACGAAAGGACGAACGTTTAAGTATTTTAACCGAATAAGGAATAGAGTTCCAAATTTGGGCACCGATTCTCGAGAAAACTAAGGCATACATTTTATCGGTTATAGAGAACTTAACATAAAACGAGTCGCTAAAGACAGATCTTGTTCTGTAGTTATGAATCTGACTTGTTTTAACAAACTGATTGAGTATACTAACTGGTGTTGCCTGTCTGTTGATATCATACAAAAAATGGTATACATACTTCAGGGTTGAGGCAAACAAGACGTAGATGTGCTCTGTGCGAGCACCGCCCTTTCAAGTTAAAACTGTTATATTAGAATATCATATGTCTAACAATAAACAGTGAAACGACAAAGAAGTCTAGTCTCGGATGTATATCTGGACTGTTCAATCCCGTTAAGCCTGCGAGCAAGCTCTCCTATTTGGGCAAGCAAAGCGAGCCGCGCGAGAACGCGCGAGCGAGGGGCCCCTCGCGGCTTCGCAGCTCGCTCGCGTGTTCTCGCGAGACTCGTTTCACTCGCCCAAAGAGGAGAGCATGTTCGCAGGCTAAACCCCGTTAGACAAGAATCCAAAGTACACAGACTGAGTAACTGAGGTAAGTCTTATGGCCCTTAAAACTTGCAACACGTTATCATTGTAAACACATGCCACAAACATGTCTCGGTAACATTTTCGTAGCAACAACAGAAAGACAACAACCATTGTCATTCGATGCAATTTTTTCTTCCTTTTCATTGGCCGACAGCCCACCACGTGACATGCAAATAACTGTATACAAATAATGGTCTGCTCATACGCAACGTCGTCCAATTTTGTTTGGCAGCAAATAATATTCTGCTCATGCGTAAATGAAACCACACGTTTCTCCTTGCGATCTATCTTGGGCGGAAATGGCAGACCGCTTCGCTGATCTTTCCCAAAGATATTCATTAACTAACAATAATAATAATAATTTATTATTTATAAGGCGCAAAACAGCATTTAAATATGATCTAATGCGCACTAACAAACAAAATTATATAAAATTATACGTAAAATTTTCTAAAAAAAAGACTAGAAATTTAGTATGAATCTCTCTATAGGTGATCCAGAAGCAGGTTATATGCTTCTGGTGATCGAATGATAAAACAATTTTTGAACTCGGCCATCGCAAACTGAGATCATGATTTGCTCACTGAACAAACGATATTTTGCTCAACCTCGTCCAATAATTGTCAATTACTGTAACGTAATATTTTGGAGTCCCTCTCGAGTAGCAGGTCTTGTGACAAGTTTCACGACATATTTGTCAGATATTAAGCTGGAACAATAATCGTTAATTGCAACAGACAATGAAAACCACCACTTTTTTGCACCAACAAAACTTTACCTTTCTCAAGGAGTAGTTACCCTATTCAAGACAGGATTTTCGCGCCAAAAAGAACAGACGTCTAGCTTTCGGATTTTTTGAGTTCCACTAATATTTCAGATATGTTTGCAACTGATGTGTCACTAGTCAGATCAGTACGTTGTCGTTGTTGTTGACCACAATCACAACTGGCTGCATTTTGTTAAATATTCCATTATTTCTTGTTTAATATGGAATCCTGGCATTTGCCAATTAATTTACGCGCCCAGATTACATCTCATACTTGAATTTTCAGAATTTTCCGGGAGGGCATGTCCCCGGACCCCCCTAGCATCTCGCGCCTTGGGCTCTCCTTGTGGGCGCTAACGCGCCCATATTGTATCTCCCCTCAATATGCTCCACTAAGGCTTACAAACAAAAAATGTGTAGGAACGCCCCTGACGAAGGTTTGCCCACTTTTCACACTATGAAGGGGTGGTTTTCCTCGTGTCGGATACTCCTCAAAAAGCAGGCGATAAAGAGTAATATTTTTACGTACTTTGCATTCGTTCCGCTCATTTTAAATCAGTAATTCGGCTACTTCTTTTTCGCATAATCGTGCTTTTTCGCTAGTCTTGAGTACTGCACTGTTGCCAAACCAGTTAATTTCCCGCGCCGTTGTCTTACTTGACTGTATACTGCTCTGCTCGCATCTTCCAAACTTGGTCAGAGCCAGTTAGTAATGGAGAATTAGCCGGGAGGTAAAGTCAATAGAAACGCCGCAGAGTATTTTTAATGAATAATAATTATCTCTTATTACAACTGTATCTAGTCTATACATTACATATACTTAAAGGAGCTGTATAACGACTAGCCTCTTCACAGACCCTCTATGTCCTCCTCAAAGTCCGTCGAACGAGCGTGATAAAAAATAAAAACCGCGGGCGATTTATCGACCGCCAGCGCAAGCGGGGTAGGAGTGGGGGAAGAAGAAAATTTTTCTTCCTCGCTCACTCGCCGTTGATTCGAAAAGAACGAAAAGAAAAAGAAAACAAAGTCTGTGTACAGGCTGTGTAATGACACCATAGGGAGCTTAAGCAACGACGACGGAGACGGCAACAAGAACGGGAAAAAAGCAATAGGTTTGATTAGCAAAACAACAACTTTGCACGTGCATCACGCTTTTTTGTACATTTCTTTGCCGTCGTCACACGAACACAACGTGGAAGTGCCTAATTTCAAGTTTTGTCGAGGACGTGAAAATGACCTCGTTAACTTTTCTAGCCAAAACTGAAGAGGAAAATGCAGCTTTCCAGGCTGTCGATTTTTTGAGAATAGGCCAAAAACGTAATGGTAAATATCGTCTTCGTAGTCGTCCTCGAATCTAAAGGTCTATAACAGAAGAAGAAAAGAAACGAGTGCTTTTTACTTCAAAGGATATCTGTTTTTCTTAAATTCTGAACCTCGGATAACGCATTTCTGTTTTTCTCTTAAATGGCAAACGATCGCTGAAATCGACCACGACACCTAAAACCACAGCCGCAAAAATCACACTAATGACATCAAGACTGACATAGAGCTGTCGGGCACTATCACCAATGAAATCAATGAACTTTTGACGTCATTACAACTGACCAAACCTTATCACGTTGGGATCAGTTATTACACTAAAACCTTCACAAACCTTCACGAATGGAAGTGTTTTGAATTTTACGAGCCATCATCCACACGTCGCATATGATCTTCGTAGTGCTGAACAAGAGCCTCACTGCTCATCTCCTCTTGACAAATCCAACAGCTTTGTCGCTCAACGATGGCTGATGACACGCCTTCCACTCTATTGATTTTAATCTCTCTGTGTGTTAGAGACCTGTCTTTCAATCCTGACCTTCTATTAGTTCCTGTGTTTTTGTACGACCTTTTTCTACTGTGGTGGACTCTTTCATGTTTTCTTAGGCTGCCTACTTGGCTAAAACACTTCCCACACTGTTGACATTCGTAAGGCTTTTCGCCAGTGTGAATTCTTTCATGAACCTTTAGGGTGTTTGAATGTCTAAAACACTTACCACACTGTTTACATTTGTAAGGCTTTTCCCCAGTGTGAATCCTTTTATGTCTCCTTAGCTTTCCTGCTTGGCTAAAACACTTCCCACATTGTGTACATTCGTAAGGCTTTTCCCCAGAGTGGACTTTTTGATGTGAACAAAAACCTACTAATCGGCCAAAACACTTTCCACACTGTTCACATTCATAAGGCTTTTCTCCAGTGTGAACTCGTTTATGTTCCCTAACGGACGCTAAGAAGCGAAAACACTTCCCACAATGTTCACATTCATATGGTTTTTCTCCACTGTGAACTCTGTCGTGTGTTTTCAGGATTCGTGCGCTGCTAAAAAACTTGCCACACTGCTTACAATCATAAGGTTTTTTTCCAGAGTGCACGGATCTCTCATGTTCCCTTCGACTTCCTGATGCACGGAAACGCTTATTACACTGACTACACTCATAAGGCTTTTCTCCCGTGTGGACTCTTTCATGAATCCTTAGGATTCCTCTTTGGTTAAAACACTTGCCACACTGTGTGCATTCATAAGGCTTCTCCCTAGTGTGAACTCTTTCATGAATCGTGAGGCTTCCTGAACAACTAAAACACTTGCCACACTTTTTACATTCATAAGGCTTTTCTCCCGTGTGGACTCTTTCGTGTAGACGCAAGCCTCCTGATCTGCTAAAACACTTGCCACACTTTTTACATTCATGAGGCTTTTCTCCAGTGTGAACTCTTTCATGAATCTTTAGTCCTCCTGATTGGCAAAAACACTTGCCACACTGTATACATCTATAAGGCTTCTCTCCAGTGTGAATCCTTTTGTGCGCCTTTAAGGATGCAGTATGACTAAAACACCTGCCACACTCTTTACACTCATAAGGCTTTTCCCCAGTGTGAACTCTTTCATGTCTCCTTAGGTGTGCTGCTCGGTTAAAACATTTGCCACATTGTTTACATTGATAGGGCTTTCCCCCAGTGTGCACTCGTCCATGCTTTCTCAGGTAATCGGCTTTTTTAAAAGTCTTCTTACACTGCTTGCACTCAAAGGACATTTAGGCAGTGCTTCTGGTGTGGTGCCGATGGTTAGAATACCTTTTGGCATAAAAAGAAACCTTTAATTTCATTGTTCTCATGGTAGCCACCAACTTAAGTTCAATAGTCAACTAGTGGGACAAAAAGACAGCAGAATACTAAAAAAATCCCAGTCCCAGGACTCGCACAAGCTGTTCACAAATCAACAATTTAAATATCCTTCTCAAGCACAGTGGTGGTCTATTGTGGAGTCATTGGTTATATCTGAGAATTCTCTGTGGGTGGTTAAATATTACACGTTTGTACTAGGAGTAAAGCTCATTGGGAGACAGCACGATGAAAAGTAAAGTATATGAGAAAGGATACGAAAGTGGTTAAATATTGCGACTTACAAATAGAGCGTATGCCACAGACGTAGCTAAACATTTGGTTAAGTCCATTTGAGAAACAGCACAGAAATCCTTGTTAGGTGCACCCATCTTTCTACTAGGATTTGCATACTTACGATGATTGGCTTGTTAAAAAAGCCATCATCTATTTGCACATCAAGTTGATGGGAAAATCGAAATGCATTCACCACTGTGTACCCACCCACCCCCCAAAAAAAACATTTTGCATTACCACTGTTTCCAATTTCTTCTGGGTATTACAGTTGTCCCAAGAGAAATAAAAGACAGTGGTCATGCAAAATGTTTGGGGTTAAACAATGCGCATTATCATTCGAAGCAAATTTTTCTTTCTTTTCATTGGCCGAGAGCCCACCACATGACCAGCAACTAACTGCCTACAAATAATGGTCTGCTCATGTGCAATGCTGTCCAATAGTGTTTGGCTGCAAATAATGTTCTGCTCATGCCTAAAGGAAACCATGCTTTCCTCCTTCTTGCGATGGCTCTTGCGTGAAAATGGCAGATCACTTTGCTTCCCAAGGATATTCATTTAAAAAACAAACTCGGTGATCGAATGATAAAACAATTACTGAACTCGGTTATTGCAAAATATTGTGATTTGTCAGTGTCTCGGAAGATCAATTATTTGCCTCAGCCGAACTCGCCACAGACAAATCACGATATTTAGCTGAACCTTCTCCAATAATTGTTAATTATGGTCTACATAAAAATGGTGAGTATTTTCTGGTTTTTTTTGTTCATTCTGGTGGGGGCCCTGAACAAGGTTATGAATGCTGCTTTGTAGACGTTACTAACAGGGGTTAGATGATGTCGGCGACGCTGGCTACCTCCAGTGGGCTGGACAGAAACTTAAAAGAAATCAGAAAGGGAGTGATGACTTCACTAGACAATGCTTTTGGCAAATGCCAAAATCCCCCAGAGATAGGGACTTAGCTAAGGAAGGCTAAGCAGCCTTATTTATTAGTCTATCTGGCTATTTTAGCTTGTTAACGATATTAATAATGATGACGATGATAATAATAATAATAATCAGTTTGACATTATCAGTTTGAATTATTTTTAGATAGTTTTATTTTTGTATTAACTTTTTGATGCTTTTTATAATTGTTATTAGTAGTTTTTAGATAGTCATTTTACGACAATTCTCTTTCGTACACAAGAAGAATGTACATAGGGTATATATTTTAATATTCATATTCTTGAATCTGTAAAAAGTCTATTTTTTTTAATCTATGAATAAAGTTATTTTTGTATTAAAAAAAATAAAAAATAATAAAAAATAATCATAATAATAATAATATCATAATAATCATAATAATAATGATAATAATAATAATAGTAATATGGACACTGTGACAGGACAGGCTGGTGTCTTAGTGTACCATTGGGAAATGGACACTCCTACCAACCCAGTAACCTCAAAGCCACCCTTACAACAAAGGGGTAGTTTGGACATGATTGAAGCTTGTTTGTCAACCCACCTAGGAGAAGGCTACTCTGAATAAAAACCCTAACCCTCATGAATTATAGGTGAAAATAAAGGGAAGGGAAAGATAGGTCCCGACATGTAACCATTACTTCAAGGGTGAAAGGGACAAAGCAGATTATAGCGTTATATTCCCACCAAAATTCAACTTTTGCTTTTCATATTCGTTTCCCACTTTATCTTTGTTGTCCACGACTTGGCATTGAAGTTTTACAATGCAACATGGTAGTTTGGGATATTGAATTCCATAATGCAACATTGAATTTTCACAACACGTCTTGTTTTTACAAGCGCCAATCATGTTATGCGTTTCCTACCATTCGACATACTTTGGTTACATTTTATGCAAGTATCGAATATTGACATGCTTCGGTGGCGTTTTATGCAATACACTCTTTTTTTTCTATAAGCATATATTTTTTAAGAATATCAAGGCTGAAATTCGCAAAATTTTAAGAATATTTTAAGAATAAACCCCAGACTGAGATATTGAAAAGGATATATTTTTGTGTTCAAAAGCTGTTAATACAATACAATTATATGTTTTCCACTTATTCAATTCTCATAAAGGGGAAAACTAGGCAACAAAACGAGAAAACATGCACTAACTATAACTGATACCCCCAATATAGTCTAAAACGGAAATGTCATGAGCTTTAAACTGAGAATAATACTAGAATATTTTCAGCCCAAAATCGGCAGAAGAATAAGAATATTCAGCCTGGGCCGGAAAAACAACATTCTTATTTAAAAAAAGAGTGTACGAGGTCTGCGTTTTCGAGGTCTGCGTTTTCAAGGTCTATGTTTCCATCGATTTTTAGACACCCTAGAAAAGGGAAAACAGGCGCCACGCGTAAACTGTTTTCATCAAATGTGTAGGACTTATATAAGACTCGTAATTTCGAGGTCTGAGTCTTCGACGTCTGCAGTCTGCGGTCTGTGTTTTCGAGGTCTGTGTTCTAGACACCCGCCTTCAGAAACCAAGCAAAGTAATATGCTTGGAAAAATAAAAGATTTAAAAACAGCAGATAGGTATTTGTAAGTGGGAAACAAAGTTCAGTTCCGAATTGTTATTAGGACCTGATGGCCCAAATCGAACCCGAAAGGATATCGGGTTTACGTTTGAATTGTAGTCGGACTCTTGACCATTTGTATGTGTTGTCATCCGAGTAGCTAGCCGCTATCATTTGACTTTCACAACTAAATATATCCATAATGTTTAGAAAACTTTCTTACCTTTAGTAACAAGACCTTGTCGCTTTGATCAAATCACACAAGGGAAGACAAAACCAAGAACTGAAGGATTCATAAATCACGTTCCGATGGCGGCCATTTTGATGTTAAGAGCGCAAAAACCCGTCCGGAGTGGGGACCTCAGCTACAATGTTGGACAAAATAAATGGAAAACCTAGACACCCCCCCCCCAAATCAAGGATGGGAAAATGGCGCGGTTTTTTGCCCTTCGCGCAGCTTCATCCTTGATTTGGGGGGGATGGGGGTTTTCTGTTCCATTTTATTTTGTCCAAGATTGTAGATAAATGAGGGCACGGGTAACGGGTTTTCCATTTTTTGTTTGCGAAATTGCTTAAGACCGCAGATCGATTCAACAAAGTCTTATTTGAGCATTTCAGTCAATGATGAATTTTAATATTGTGCAATAATTAATGCTATGATATTTTTCTCCATTTTGCTATTGCTATCATTATTTTTAACTTTATTTCGTTTTATTTAGCTAGACGTCTTGCGTGATGGCACCTCTATTGCAAGACTATAATTGTTTTAATAAAGGCTAAGAAATTGGATGACTTTCATTTCAACACTTTTACTTTTACTTTTATCTTTTTTGCACGTGTAAATCATTTTCCAAATATATGAGCGGTTCATGCAAAGATTGGGGTGTCAAAATATAAAATATCAGCAAGTCCAAGCAACAAACCGTTGAATGGTGCCGGATCTCTTAGTTGTAGACCTGGATCAGTACAATGAAAACTTGGACAAAATCATAAACACAGCAAACTGATCCTTAAAACAAAAAATATATATATTGGGTGGGGTGGGTTCGTAACCTTCGTCCAAAGCGAGGAAAAAGAACGGGCGCGCGCGGGCTTAACTTCTGACATTTCCCTGGGTTCCCTGGCCTTCGACGATAACGCATTTTCTGTACGTTCAAGGTTATAATTTGATTCGAAAATTCAGTTGAATGCTATAGATTATAACACTGTTTCTTACTGATTTTTCGCTGAAACGTTATTTGCATTAGTAGTGTCTCCGAGTAAGAAGTTATAAGGGACCTTTATTTTTAAATAAGTGATCCGCGCCTTCTGACACATGTCCACAGGTATCTCAAACAAGGCAGAAATCTAGCCTACGACAGGAGCCCATTAGAATAGACTGTTCACAGTCCCCTATTTTTTCGTCAGATCGTTTAGATATACCGCGTCTTACCGTCACGGCTATCTTGATTTTCAAATGTACCGAGGGGGCGGGCGGGTCCGTGCACACTTCGGCCAATCTAATTTTCTATTTTTCCAATAAAAACGGAAAAAGGAAATATTACTTATCGTTATCATATTTACATATTTAAAAGTACAGAAAAAAAAAGAAAAAAAGAAAATGGTCAGGAAAATTGATCATTTTTTCATTTTCCTAATTTTGAAGTCCGCTTCAAAAATTCAAAAACTACTGTAAAGGGCTAAAAGCGATATTTTGCTATTTTTTATTTTCTTGCTATTGTTAGAAAATGAGAAAAATGAAATAATCTCCGATTCTTAACTCATTTTTCTATTTTTCCGTTTTTCGCAAAAAATAGAAAAAAGGAAAAATGAAAAAATACTATTTATTCCCACCATTTTTTCATTTTTTCCATTTTGTTGAAAAAATGAAAAAATAGAAAAATAGCATACCTGTCGCCTAATTTTCCATAATTCCATTTTAACAAGAAAAATGAAAAAAATGACAAGTGTTGCGAACAATTTTTTCATTTTTTCAATAAATAGAAAACAAACAAACAAACAAAAACGGACAATTTTTCATCTTTTGTTTTAATGAAAAATAGCAAATAAAAATGACAAATCATGAGCATTTACCAACAAAGAAAAGAAAAACCTAATCCACTTTCGACTCACTAGTTTTGTTAGACGATTTACACAGGGTCGTCAGGGTCGGCGGAGATGTGGGATGGGAAGGGCGGGTGGGGGTGCTTTAGTTCTCAGCATGCGAAAGTAGTTTCATTCACGTTTGGATTTGATTAGCTGATTCCTTTACCTCATTACTTAGGACTCACTCTGTGACCCGTTCTAACACTGCGTCACCGTAAAGTGTTCCTGTTCCATTCAAACTGTAGAACGTTTCGATTCCCATACTTGTCGCATGGGTTTCCCGACATTAGCGATCTTTGCTCTCGTCTTTCCAGGGCTGAGTTGCTTAAAAGGTGGATAACGCTATCCGCTGGATAAATAACTATCCAGTAGATAACGCAATTGGTTTCCATAAAATACATAAAAAATTATCAGGCTGCTGGGTAGTGATTTATCCGGTGGATAGTCGCTATCCAACGTTTAATCAAATGTATGAGCAAATGTATGGGCCAGATCATTAAGATGTTCTCTCCCGCGAGTGTATACTAGCCGCCTCGTTATGTTTCTCCCCCATAATATTAATTCAACATACTTTACTCTTGCAATCCTCAAACACCCGTTCTGCGGCAAGATCCGTTATTTCGGCAGGCTAAGCAGTCTACTTTTGAGCATCTATTTCATTTAAATGCGTCTGACCTCTTCACTGGCGTGCTCTTTATTTATTTTGTGCATGTGACTGTTCAACGACCTTCTTTTTAACTCCTTCCCTTTAATCTCCCTCATGAACCGCTTTTTTTGTGCTGGGACCATACTGTTGCTGGCATGAAAACCGTTGACTTACCACGGCCCTTTTCCCGTACCAATTTTCACGCCTTCTCCTCCTCCCTCGTACCCTTTCTAATGTTCTTCATTTCCACGGCCGGTACGTTACGGTTTTCCCGCTGCTTTCATCCACAGTCGACTCCCGACAACTCAAACCTTCAGGGAAATCGAGATCAAAAGTGAATGGAACTACGTACGCTTCTCGAAAACTAAGCCCTCCCCACCCCCCCCCCCACCCCGCAATTCCCCCACATCTCCGCCGACCCTGGGTAAATCTTCTAACCAAATTAGTGCGTCGGTAGTGGATACGAATTAGGTTTTTCTTTTATTCACCGTTAAAATACTCATAACTTCTCACTTTTCTGCGCCATTTTTCAATAAAATAAAAAATGAAAAACAGTCTGAAAGGGTGTATCGTTTTAAAGTTTTACTATTTATTAAAAAATGGAAAAATAGAAAATTGCTCGCAACACTTGTCATTTTTTTCATTTTTCTTATTAAAATGGAATTGTGGAAAATTGGGCGATAAGTATGCTTTTTTTCTATTTTTTTCATTTTTCGAACAAAATGGAAAAATGAAAAAATGGTGCGAATAAATATGATTTTTTTCATTTTTCCGTTTTTCTATTTTTGGCGAAAAACGGAAAAATAGAAAAATGAGTTAGAAATTGGACATTATTTCGTTTTTCTCATTTTCTAAGAATAGCAAGAAAATAAAATTAGCAAAATATCTCTTTTAGCCGTTTACAGTATTTTTTGTATTTTTGAAGCGGACTTCAAAATTAGGAAAATGAAAAAAAGATCAATTTTCCTGACCATTTTCTTTTTTTCTCTTTTTTTCTGTACTTTAAAATATGTAAGTATGATAAGGATAAGTAATATTTCCTTTTTCCGTTTTTGTTGGAAAAATGGAAAATTAGATTGGCCGAAGTGTGCACGGACCCGGGCGTCGCGGATTATAGCTCTGGGGGAAGGAAGTGGGGGGGAGAGAAAAATAGAGGGACTGTAATAACAGCAGCTCGCGTTCACGGAGCGCGTTGTACCACCAACGCAGGCGTTTGATTGGTCATTAGACAATAGATGTATTTACGTTGAACAACGGGTTTTGTTTAAGTTGCCGACACTGACAAGTCGACGCTTCCATAAAACGTACGCTTTCATACCATAAGGCACATCTTGCGCAAACACAGGAAGGACTTTTGGTATTTTGATTAGAAAAATGTTTTCTTGTGTATGTTTGCCGATTTTATTTCGAGGAATGGCCCAGAAACATTATAAAATCACTGTTTCAAAAGGAGATATTTGTAAACACGCGTAACGAATGCTAAATGTGTCTGGCATGTTTTTCATCACCAGCGGAGTTTCTTAATTAATTAATGGTAAAAGGCGTGAAATTCCTGTCACGCCTCCTGAACGCGAGCTGCAGTGATGTTATTACAGTCCCTCTATTTTTCTCGCTTCCTCCCAAACCGACCCCGCCCCCTAAGTAGTTTTGACACTCGTACAAGATGGCAGCCCATAACGCAAAGCGCTCGATCTCGATGATCTTACGGAAAAATAGAGGACTGTGAACAGTCTACCATTAGAACGGTCTTGGCGCGAATTTATAATATCTTTAAAGTCACACAAACCAGTCAGCAAAAACATACAGCCCTAAAAATGATAACTTCTGCCTTTTAATGTGTTCATGGACGTGGCGGAGATTCCATTTCCACGGGTAAAATTGTCTTAAAATGTGTCTACAAATAAACCACTCAGTAAAAACGCCGTGACATAGGCCTAGTATAGGGGTTACACGCTCCGAGTTATGGGCTCCTACCTGCGATTAAGCTCTCATGTTTGGGCGAGCGAAGCGAGCCGCGAGGGGCCATCCCCTGCTTTCGCATCTCCTCTCGGGTGCCTCACGCGCGTCTACTTTTCACGATATCCCCAAATGAGCTAGCTCGCCAGCTAATCGGTAATCTCTTAAATAAATCGCTTACATGCACTCAAAGCGAAAGATCTGAGGTCAGAGATGTGGGAGGAGGCAGGAAATTATTCTCAAGAATTATCCTCAGCCAGGCCCGTAGCCAGTTTTCTTTTTCTGTGAGAGTGCGTTCCAACGAGAAGACGGACCAAAACGACTGCACTTGTTTCTTGGAAGGGAGGGGGCGTTGGGACAATTAGGTTTCTGAGAGTACATTGAGAGCGTTTTGAGGGCCGGCAGTATTAAGAAAAATCGAAACGTGGACAACTGGCAAATTCTTGGACCTTCAAAATTTATTATATGGCAAATAGACTACTTTACGTACGTATTTTGACAATGGCATCACAATTTCAAAAGTAAAATAGAAAGAAAGTTGTAAATCTGATTATTTACAAAGTTTGCTGCTGATCATAATGATCTTTCAGTAGTGTTCCAAGTTGGGGGCTTCTTAGCAAACAGATGAACAATGCACAAAAAAGTATCTTAGAAAGTACCCCGGGGAAGGGGGGGGAGGTGGAAAAGCCATATAGGTATATGCCGTCCCAAAGGGTATGGTTTGTGGACCTTTTCGGTCCGAAAACGGGTATAAATTTTTCTCTGGAATCGAGATGGTTTTCGAGCGAACTGCGGGAGCGTATGAGCGTATTTATCGTATCAATTCTAAATGAAAAAGATCGAAATAGAAATATGCGAATTCGAAATGCATTTGAATAAATTTTGGTTTATGCTCTAATCTAAGTAATCATGACATAATTTCTGCCTAAAGTTCAGGTCTGAAAACTGGTATAGATTTTAAAGGTCTCGTCTGAAAACGTGCGGGAAAAATGACATTTTTGGTCTGAAATAGCGTCAGGATTTAGAGAACTTGGCGGCACACCCCCACCAAGAATTCCCAGCAGTACCCCACGGGGGATAGTACATGTAAGTTATATTTCTCAGTTACGTGACACTAGATAGATAAGATGAGCCACTCCCGCTAAGGCGTCCGTGCCCGAATGCACAGTAATCTCTAACTTGTAAATTTAACTTCAAGACTTTTAAATGAAAAAAAAAAGGTTCTAATATAATTCTACAGCCCGAAAATCTTCACTTATGGCACTTTCAGTTTCTTTTTGAGGCAGTGGCAGTGGCCTCTCTTCTTGCTTTTCTTGGCCCATTTTCTGGCGAACTATGTTAAGAACTGCTCAACTGTCGCAAAAAATTCAGAACGATTTTGCAATTACATGTACATTGTAGGCAAAGTATCACTAATTCACTTTGTTTGAAATCATTGGTCAACAACCCTCCGGAGCCTGTGGGGAGGTGCAAGGTGATTTGACGCACCCCCTGCTCCTAGGTCCTACAGAATTCCCCATAGTTTTTACTTCGATTAACTTAAGAGTCATCTTCGCAAACATAGGTCATATGGTTTTCATAATGTTGAAGAAGAAGAGCCTCACTACTCATCTCCTCTTGACAAATCCAGCAGCTGTAATTCTCAAAGATGACCAATTGTGCATCTGGTAGATCAGTGTTTCCAGTCTCTCTCAGTGTTTGAAGGTTGTTTGTATTTGTAAAACCTATGGCTCTGCTAACATTAACGTTTTTACCTCCCGCTCTCTTCCGCTTGCAAGATTCCAAACGTTTAGACAGACTTTTGTTTTTCTGAGAACATTCACGTGACTCAGTTACAAGAGTGTGGATTCTCTCATGCTTCCTCAGGCCTCTTGCTTCCCTAAAACACTTGCTACACTGTTTACATTCATATGGTTTTTCCCCAGTGTGAACTCTTTCATGAATCCTCAGGGTTCTTGCTTCGCTAAAACACTTGCCACACTGTTTACATTCATAAGGCTTTTCCCCAGTGTGAACTCTTTCATGAATCCTTAGCGTACCCGCTCTGCTAAAACTCTTGCCACACTGTTTACATTCGTAAGGCTTTTCCCCAGTGTGAATTCCTTCATGAATCCTTAGGGTTCCTACTCGGCTAAAACACTTGCCACACTGTTTACATTCATAACGCTTTTCCCCAGTGTGAACTCTTTCATGAATCCTTAGGTGTCCTGCATTTCTAAAACACTTGCCACACTGTTTACATTCATAAGGCTTTTCCCCAGTGTGAATTCCTTCATGAATCCTTAGGGCTCCTACTTGGCTAAAACACTTGCCACACTGTTTACATTCATAAGGCTTTTCCCCAGTGTGAACTCTTTCATGAATCCTTAGGTGTCCTGCATTTCTAAAACACTTGCCACACTGTTTACATTCATAAGGCTTTTCCCCAGTGTGAATTCTTTGATGAGACCTTAGGTGTCCTGCTTGGCTAAAATACTTGCCACACTGTTTACATTCGTAAGGCTTTTCCCCAGTGTGAATTCTTTCATGACTCCTTAGGTGTCCTGCTCGGCTAAAACACTTCCCACACTGTTTACATTTGTAAGGCTTTTCCCCAGTGTGAACTCTTTCATGAATCCTTAGGTTTCCTCCTTCGCTAAAACACTTGCCACATTGTTTACATTCATAAGGCTTTTCCCCAGTGTGAATTCTTTCATGACTCCTTAGGTGTCCTGCTAGGCTAAAACACTTGCCACACTTTTTACATTCATAAGGCTTTTCCCCGGTGTGAACTTTTTCATGAATCCTTAGGTGTCCTGCTTGTCTAAAACACTTGCCACATTGTTTACATTTGTAAGCCTTTTCCCCAGTGTGAATTCCTTCATGCCTCCTTAGGTGTCCTGCTCGGCTAAAACACTTCCCACACTGTTTACATTCGTAAGACTTTTCCCTAGTGTGAACTCTTTGATGAATCTTTAAGGTTCCTGCTTGGCTAAAACACTTGCCACACTGTCTACATTCGTAAGGCTTTTCCCCAGTGTGAACTCTTTCATGGATCCTCAGGTCTCCTGCTCGGCCAAAACACTTGCCACATTGTTTACATTTATAAGGCTTTTCCCCAGTATGAACTCTTTCATGAATCCTTAGGGTTCCAGCTTGGCTAAAATACTTGCCAAATTGTTTACATTCATAAGGCTTTTCCCCAGTGTGGACTCTTTCATGCTCCCTTGGGTTTTCTGCTAGACTAAAGCACTTGCTGCACTGCAGGCACTTAAAGGACATTGAGTTTGTTCTTCTTATAACAAGTGATAGTTACAGCACCCTTTAGCAATAAAAAGAAACATTCTCAGCTACATGCACAATGATATTTTGTTTTGGTGCCCCAACTTTGTAGCCAGGGGGTGCGAGATCTGAAGGTTGTTGGGAGATACCTGCCTATGAAAAGGTGATTCTCGACCTGTCATAAACTGACTACATACCTACATGTATAACTTTACATGACCCCTTCAACATGGAGAATCCATCAACAGGGTTAATTTAATCATTTGTTGACTTTGTATTTGGATTGGAGACTTCCCTGTGGTTTGTAAAATAACATGCATTCATAAATGGTAATTAAGGCTCATCATGCAGCTTTAATACAAAAAATAGTGGAACCTGTATTACTGTTAATCCGCTATAAACTCCCTTGGGGCTTAGTTTGTTTAAAGCATGTTTAACAGAGAGTAAGGAATATTTGAGACGGAGGGTTTAAATTTAATTTAGTGAAATGCATTACCAAAAGCAAAGAAAAAAAAAGAAGAAGAAGAAGCAGACTAAAGAAACGGTTGCCTTTCACCGATCAACAGCATCATCTGGGGTAAAAAAACAGTATTCCGCATGATAATATACATGATAAAAAAATTGGTGTAAAGCAAAATGTGTGAAAAGCGTAAGAATGGGGTGGAATGTACCAGAGGTATAAAAATAAAAACTTCAGCGAGTGTCACTTTCGAAAGGCATTATGATAGTCTTAAAAACAAATTGTACACAAACTCAGTGCATTCGTCACGTTAGTTTAGGCCTGTCTCAATGTAAATCGATCTGGAAAAGAACATGCTGGTTGACAAAACCCCTCGAAAGACAAAAATAAATTCTGGTTCTGATAAACATTTTGAGAGTATAAGCTCTTTCAAACAAGAAGTCATATTAAAGCTTTCTCACACGTTAGATCCCCAGGAGCAGATAATGATCAGTTTTACACTGGATCACTTAATCTCGTACCAGGAGTTGTAAATAAAAGATCATGACATGATTTCCCAAATATGGGGTCTTACTTACATTCAAATATGGTCAAAAATTCAAATTATAGAGGGTTACACAGAATTAAGAATCTTTAGTGGAGGCAACCTCACTTCTTAGCTTGGTTGCCTCATTGGCAATAACATACATTTACAATATTGGTCATTAAGGTTTATCATGCAGCTTTAAATGTGGCAATATAAATCCTCTATAAAGCTCCGTAGGGGCTTATTTTTTAAGCATGTTTAACAGACAAGGAGGATTATTTGATATGAAGGTTACTAAATTTAATGAAATGCATTAGCGAAAAAAAAGAAGAGGAAGGGGAAGAAGCAGACTAAAGTAATGGTTCCCTACTTCCTGTTCTGGCACTGGCACAAACAAACATCAAACAAACAGCGGCCAGAAGATGATATCAATTCTGTATAAAACGAGTGGAATGCAAATTGGAAACACTCAAGCACATGAACTAAGTTGGAGGTTAAGCAGTTAAAGATCAAAAACAAATTGCAACTTCTAGCGCATGAATAAGTTATACCAGATCAGCAGTGATTTTTGTTACAAATAGTTATGGTACAGTGTACGTCCTGGACTCATCTCATCTTGTAAGAAATCATGAGTCCCAGTTCAAAACACAACAAGACCTAAAGGACTGTTCATTATTTATGGGAATGACCAGGTCAGGAAAAAACCGAATGGGCCTTGAAGATTTTTCTTTCCGTGGTGACGAGCTGTATGTTTTTTTCTTGAACAAAGAGATCGGGCTTTAAAAAAATATCAGCTTAAGCTTAAACTGTTGTAGAAATGCGACAGTTATTTGGCGAGACAACACATGGAAACTGTATTGGTATTGGGTTCGGGGATTTCATAACTGCTCTCCCTGCTGAAAAAATCAAAGCTGATAAGGAGTAATCTTAAAGAATACCAATCTGCGACTCAGAATAGGAATCATGTGTCCCTGGAAGTGCGAACGTTAAAAAAATTCTACAATTCATCAATGCCCATTACAAAATTGGTGAGCTCTTTATGGAGTACTTGTACGGTGACTGCTCTACCACGATCACTGAACATTGTTCGTTTTGTTCTAACAAAGGATGGACAAGTCCTGTGCCCATGAACAAATTCCCCAGCCTGTGCCAGATCCTGAAAATCCCACCCATTTTAAATCGGTCAATGAGACACCAACTACCACAGAAAAGGGCAACCTCGAGTGCCAGATGAATTTCAACCACGTGTAAAAATAAAGAAAATGTTTAATGCACGCATGTTATCAACGGAAGAAAAGATGCAGCAGTTTTCAAAGAATTTTGCCGTAGAGACGCACTTGATCAAGACATACATGTATATTGCTCATCTAGAAGATCTCAAACAACAAAGCGGCATTTTTAAGAGAACAAGAGGGCGCGCAGAACAAAAGCATAAATTGACATCCAAAACATTTAAAGAATATGCCTGGTGCCATCTCATGGAGTCTGGAGATTTACAAAAGTTGCTTGTGTCTGAGCTCAATAAATATCTTAAACATTACAAACTCATAAGCAGCTGCACCAAAGCTGAAAAGAGAAGGTGAATGTTGTTGCGTGTGCTTCATGGGGAGGATGGTCAATGGAAAGATATAAATGAGTCTACTGACGAGGAAGCAAAGGATGGCGGAACGGAAGACAACAGCGAAGAAATTGACAGCTCAGGGGACAATGAAATTGAGGTGGATAATGTCCTTGGAGAATTGTCAAGTGGGCCCGACTCAGAGCATGACACGACTTCTGGTGAACGGGAATGTTATAGCATCAATGAAAGTGATAAGATATGGTTTGTCTTTCAAAGCGATTCAGAGGAAGAGGATTTTTATGGTTTTGACTGAGTTTGCAAACAGCTGATGTTCTTAAAATTTGATGCAGGTCACTATACAGAATCTAATACATTAATGTAGTATAATATAGAAATTCATTCAATTTTTACATTAGTTACAAGTCTTTCCATGTCTTGCTGATGCAACAGAGACCTGGAACAAAGTATTGAATGTCCTCTCAAATAGTCTCGTGAACATGTTCTCAATACACTGTAAACACAGGTTTGTAGATACTCATTCCTTTAAAAAAATGTCGAACACTTCCAAGGAAAACTTTTACTTCAAAAGAAGTTCTGTTTGGAGAGGTAGGAAAACTTCAAACGTTCTTCCAAGTCATTGTATTTGATCCGAACATCCGAATATACACTAGTTGCTCTAGTTGTAAATAAACATTCCATGATTTTCTAAAGTTACTCTCTTCAAATCAGTGTCAAATCGAACGGCTTTGGAAAATTTGACCCCAAATGAACAGACTACGAAAAAAATAATGTGCTTTTTGGGCAAGCTTTAGAAAGAAAGAGGAAAGCTTCTATTTTTTTCCCGACCCAGTCATCCTTACAATTAATAATGAACCATCCCTAAATTGAAAATGCTTTGGCCTTTATGTAACCAGGGAGTTAATCTGAAGACAGACTCCAAACCTCTGTATTACAGTTCACTGAAATAAAAATATACTCCTTCTATCTTGAAGTACAACAAAGACTAAAGGAAATTTAATATGCATCATTAACAACAGCCACAGAAATTACACAAACAGGATATTCTAGAAAAACATCTTTATATCACTTGACCAATCTTTGTGTTCTATGGAATGCATACCATGAATTATTTTGCATCTTTGGGGATTTTTATGCTTAAGGAAAGCAGAACTCAGAGGATCAGTCAACATGAAGTGTCACAGTCTGATTTATTAATACTACCTATCCCTTATTCTTTTGGTCCAAATAATAATTAACAATTATTCCTCGAACCTGAATAGGCTCTGAGTCAATAGCCCATCAAGTCGAAGGCCATGAGAGCGAGAGGAATAATAGTTTTAGTAAAATCCAACTAGTTGGTCAAATGCTTTCACAATGTACACAAATTGCGCAGGCGTCGGCAAAGGCGGCCACACTAAAATCGTCTACGTTGCAGAGTTGTTATCGAGCATGTCAAATCCCTATAACTTCTCGGAGTTTATATTTCTGAGGATTTGATTTCGGGTGTTCACTGTGACTACATAATCAAAAAAGCCAATCGTCGCCTCTATGCACTTATGTAGAACTCTAAAGAAGTGTGGCATGCCAACATCAGAACTAATCACAGTATATTGCTCCCTTATACAATCAGTGATTGAATACGCCTCAGCTGCATTCACGAATCTGCCAAAGTGTCTGTCTGATGCATTGGAGGAAATTCAAAAGCGCGCCCTTAGGATAATTCTTCCGAATTTACATTATGACGAGGCATTGATACTAAGTGGCCTGCCGTCTTTAGAAGACCATAGGGCTGCTGCTTTTTTGGCAGAAGATTAATGTTAATTATGTGTAATTTGCGCACAATCCTGTTATCCAGCTCTTAGCTGCAAAGGGTTCTGAATAAACAAATCTATTCTATTCTATTCTAATAAGAAAGTCCTTAAGAAATCACGGCAGATAATTTTTTAACTAATGTGGAAATTGAATTGCACAACAAAGTAAACAAGACTCTTATTGAGTTCAACTATTTTCTTCAAAATTGTTTAGATACAAGTCGACTGCTATCCGTGAAGAGCAAGGAGAGACGGCTGTATTCACAGGCAAAGATAATATGTGACAATGCTCGACATCCGTGTTAAGTGTAGAACTGTCAAGGACTGGAATGTATTACCAAGCGAAATTGTTAACATTAAGTCCGCACATCGACTCACAAAAGTCTTGTTTGAGTTTTTAAGTAAATGATGAATTTTTATAATTACATAATGATTGATGCTGTGGAATTTTTATCCATTTTATCTTTTGTTGAAAATTTTTCACCGTCATTACTTTTAACTTTATTTCATTTTATTCAGTTCAGCGTCTTGCGTGATGGCAACCCTGTTGCAAGACTACAAATTTTTGAATAAAGGTGACCAAAGGTC